CTTTTATCGTGAGGTTTTTGTCAACATTGGACAACACGATGCTCAAGGAGTGTTATGTTATGTGGTAACTGAACCTGACAAAAGCTTCCGTTAAGCATTAAAAGACAAGACCCAAAATGTCTTGAGGCTTATGGTGAAACTATTTTGGTTGTCCCACTTACGTGTTCTGGATTGAGCCTACAGTTTTATCGGAACTCTGAGTGCTCAATTACCTGGCAAAAGTAATGGCAAACCAAGGACTATGACCTGCTGCCTAGGGACTACATAAAAAACCAAAGATGGACCTGTAAGAGCTGTAGGAGCCCATTTGGAAAAAGAGTCAAAGTAATAGCTACAATAAAAGACATGTCTTCAAACAGTGTGAGAATTGCTTTGTAAACCTACTTGTTTCTTCTAACAAAATGAAAGCACTGTTTAAAAGAAAGATGCGAGTTAAATATGCTGTGGAAGCTTGCGAACCTTCAGATCCCTAGATGCTCCTCTGGTTACTTGGCACAGCATATACTATTTTCACTTCTTGCTAGTATTTTACTGATGTGTTTTTTTAGGGGAAAACCCTCTGAATGAACAATAAGAAACATGTAATAATGTAATCCCCCTTGATCTGGAGGAATTGGCAGTAGCAGACCTCATTTTGGAGAACTGCTGTGAATAGACTGTAAGAATTCCTTGTAACATGTTTCTTAGAAGTGGAATACATTTCGATGCCTAAGCTTTGTTGGCATTTAAACTACAACAAGACTTGACACTGGCTCATTTAATATGAGAGAGCATGGTAGTGTTAATGAGGTAATGTTGGTTCTGTGTAATTCTGCATGTATAGAAAACACCGTCTGCAGTAAGTTCTTACTTATGCTGTTATTTTACAATACACAAATAGATGGTAAAATCAGAAGTTAGTGATGTTATACAAATCAGCACAACAGATTTGGAATTGAGGCATATACTTAAAGATGGCTTAAGTAGCTATTACACCTAGCAGTGAAAAAACAGAATAGGAACACATTTGCAGGTGCTGGTACTCTCCGTTTTGTGAGATACCGGTGTTTGCAGCTAGTTTCCTACCTCCGGTTTTCAAGTAAGAGATAGGATGAACTGGTTTTACCAGTTTACGACCCCGTAGTATTTTTTTGAAGATGTGGTATTACACTTCAGCAGGTTTCCATCAGAAATCCATGAAAGGTCTTTCTTCATGTTGACTCCTTTGTATTGGTGGCTCTATTCTGTGTGTCATAGCAATGGCAAAAGCACTTTACGAAGGTGCATGGATATCATGTAGTTCTAGACATATCTTGTAGTGCAGTGTTTTAAGCTGTATAACTAGCTTCTGTTTTCATTTTATGACATACAATAGTACATTCTTAGGTAGCAAGTCACTTTAGTTGCTTTGATTTTTTGGTGTCTTTACTGAAACCTGTCTTCGTGGAACACTTAGAAAATGTCTCTGCACTCGTTTGACAAAATTCAGGATGCGTTCTTTTTCAAACTTCTTGGATTTAGTTGTTGTTGCTGTATCATATGTTTAGTCCTGTGGAGTGAATACTTTGGAGTTTGTGTGCAGAATCATCGTCTAAATTTCTTTGTTCCGGGTCCTGTCAGAGGATGTATGCTAATTGCGCACTTTCACTCAACAGAGGATATTGTGATTTGTCTGTCTCACCTCCTGCTTTTGCTTAGTTTCTGATGCACTTTTAACAGTGAACAAGCTTTAACTTGATGTTTTAATCTAATGTCTACATTTAAAAAATGATGTGCAGGCAAAGGAGGTTTACAACTGGTGAATTGGGTCGGTTGCTCCACTGTTGTTATTACTAACTCCATATGGAGAGTCTGAAGTTATTAAATGTTGTACACCTGAATCCCTATTGCTCTGACACTCGAGTTTTTATTAGCATTGCAGCTTTTCCCTTTCTTTTAGGATTGATCTAATATTTTTTGGAAGCGAGGTTTTGCTAGGTATTTGTATAGAGAACCTAAACAATATTTTCTAAATATTTTAAAATCCAAACCAATATGCATAATTGGACAAAGTGTGGCTTTTTTTTTTTTTTAATTTCCTTTTTTTTTGCTGTTTTCCCAAAGTAGCTGAGTGGCAATAAAGAAAGTTAGCTTAAAAGTTAGGTAGCTAATAGCAGTTCTGAACTTCTATATTTTCAAAATAAAAAGGTTAATTATTTTAGTGATGCATTTCATGGTTTCCCTATTGAATTAGGCTACTAAATGTGTCATGTGAAATAATTTCTGGTTTAAGTTTATCCACTGACCAGAACTGGTGAGTTGATACAGTCGATACAAAATAAATAAGTTTGTTCATTGATGCTGTTTCATCACTTGCACGTTCCACCATTTGAGCTCCAAGTTGAAGTATCACACTATGTAGTTTTAAATGACAGCCTCTGTGAAGAGGCTTGAAATATAGTTCCACAGTTAGATCTAAAATTGGTTTTAATTTCTCTCTTCTCCCCAAAACAACTTTACTTGGTGTTTCTAACTTGGTGTAATCAATCAAAGACTTGTGCCATTTTTTTGTTGTTTAATAAGAAAATAAGCTTCTTGGAAGAGTTGGACCACTATATGGCTGAAAAGTCTCCCGCAATCACAGATATTAAGAGGTGTTTGGAAATATGTGAGATCTCATGCTCTGTACTTCACCTGACAAGTGCTCTGGGGCTGTTTTTAACTCAGAACTGAGAATCATCCCCCCTGCCTCCCCAAAACCTCAAGAAATTTGTCCATGCCTTAAAGCTAAACACTTCGGCTATAAAATAGAGGTTTTTATCTCATTAGGCAGTCAAAACTTCTATTTCTTCTGTTCCCTTGGGTAGAAAGTTTCTTGTAATACTGAAAGACTGCAGTATGGTAGACATAAAAATTATGAATTATGTAGAAATAGTTAGTTTTTACTCTTTTAAGAAAACAATGAAACTACAATAATTGTAATTTCCTTTTAAAGTCCACTGTACAGTGCCTTTACAGTGCCAGTTAAATAATGTTGTATCTTAATTATTTTGTGTAAAAATAGAACGGTGAAGCCATAGAGTATTAACTAAAAAATAAAGATTCTTATTAGGAGCAAATGATGCATACAGTTCATGCTTATTAACTACAAATGGCAGTATCAAAAGCCCTCTGGGGATTCCTAGCCTCTTTTGCTAATATATTTTTGTATTTTCTTTCATATGTTGTGTTAAAATGGCTTTTTTTAGGCAATGCTCAGTCTTCAGTGCTTATCTCAGTTCTTCTGCAATATCTCACTTAAGGGTAGTTTTGAGTTTACTCTTTTTGGAGTCTAATGGCATTAAAAACAGTTCTGTTCATGTCTCTCAATCTGTCAACGTTAAGTGTGGTGTTTAAAAATACGTATACTTCTTCCTCTCCCACACCCAAGTTGATGAAGAGCTCATTGATGCTTCTGAGAGCGGAAGTTTGAACTGTGGAAGTTGCTGAAATGTCTGTTCATGCTTTTCGTCAGTGTACATATCCCTGACTGGGAAAACATCGTGCTTGAAGTTGTCTCTGTTCCTGTTAAACTGTCACGTTCTCCGCCCCGATACAGTTGTGGTAACCTTTACAGTGCCAGGCATTACTTACTTAACTTTCAAGACTGTAATAATCTATTTAACAAAAAAAATGATTTTGCCCCTTAACAGCATAGACAATAAAGCTTACTCCACCGTGCTTCCCATCTCTACCTTTTTAAACAGGGACATATGTATGACACTTCAAATGTAGTTTCGGGTGTGGTCTTTGAAAGTGAAGGGGTTATGTTATTCAGACATGATAAGTAAGTATAACTCAATACTTTGATGTAATTTTCATCCTATTACTTTTTGATACAATATATAAAGTTTAGATAGTGTGATTCTACATTTCATTTGGAGAGGTATTTCCAGTAGCAGGTAAAGATGAACGCTGCTGTAGGAGGTCCTGGTTAAAACCTGATGCAGAATACAATTCTGTTTGCTTGTGTTTAAGGTAACAGTTAAAGTGGAATAGGGACAGAGAGTGGCTGTAGCCTGTCATATGAGAGAGTACCAGCAAAGTTGGTCTTGTTTCTTTTAGCGGAATGAAAGGTGAAAAGAGTCTGTTTGCTGTCTTCAAAGACATTCAGAGGGCAAGGAAACATCCGGGAGAGTGGAAATAACTGTTTAAGCTAAAGGACAGTGTTGCCATAAATAAGTGTAGATGTCTGAGGCATTGAGATTTTGAAAGAGCTTTTCGATTTGAGCATTGGGAACTGGTCTTAGCTGTAACTACTTAGGAGTAACCATTTCCGAAATGGGCTGCCTGATGTCTAGCATGTGTTATTGCAGTGGCCTAGGTTCAGCAACCAGCAAATCTTTGTATTCATGTGTTGACAGTCATCCTGTCTCATTAGAAACTTCCTTTTCTACTAGTTCATATCTACATATTGTACTGCATTTAGTCAGTAGGTGATTTTCCCCTTTCTACTAGACCAGACAGTTAGGAAAAAAGTAAACAGTACTTATAGCTGAACCTTTGAAAATACATCAGTCAACTTAAAATCAGCTGTTCATCATGGAAAGTGAAATAAAGATTTGATGGGTAAGTTCTTATTAATCAGCTTCCTTTAGCCAAAATATTTGCGGAGAAAATACCAAGTGAACAATAGCTCAGCCAGATCATGTCTTCGTCTTATGACCTAATGCCATATCACCTCAGGCGGCAAGCTTCTCGGGTCAAGCGGCGCAGGGTCAAGCGGCGATGAGACCTCTCAAGGGAAAGTGCGGGTGCTGCAGGAAGTGGTGCTCGTGAGTCAGGGCGCCGTCCGCTTCCCGACGACTCTCAGTCCACGTGAAGCTGGAGGTAGCACTTCCTGCATGCTGCTGGATCTTATGAATTGAATGTGGAAATGTGCGCTAACTGAATGGAAAAGTAAATTTTGGACACACATTAAAACTGTAAAATTCTTGTGCCTAGTAATTTGTGGGATTTTCCCCCTCAGTATTTTACAGTCATGTTTTTATTTACAGATGACGCCAAACACTTACTACCCAACAAAATGAGAGACTTTTTCTGTACCATAAACTTGGACCAAGAAGAGGTTTTTCGTACACAGGTAGTTGAAAAATCTTTAAGGTAAGCTTAATTTTTAAATGGAGATGATAAGCAAGACTGCTTCAGTTCAGAATAAAAGCAAGATATGTATCAATGTGCACATGCTTTTGCTTATACCTCTTTAAAATGAGAGCAGATTTGTGGCAACTACTCAGAAATGTTACAGCAACGTGTAAATCGTGAGAGTAGTTGAAAGAAGACAAAATTGAGGCTTATGGGCAGTACAGTGCTTTTAAAATGAAGCATGCTAAAACTTTTCATTATTACTTTATCCTGTTCCATTGGGCAGCGTAGAGTTCTTTTTCTTGCCAGATTGTTTTCAAGGGAAAGAAATCTGCTTAGTACTTGCTCTCTGTGTCATTTCCTGCTTCTTCCTTGGTCTGTAGTGGTAGAATTCTGCTTTTAGTGTCTGTCTTGTAAAACCTGTTTCTAGGATGAAGGAACCGGAACTTTTCCATGTATAAGAGTCTTGTGTGCTGTGGGATGTCCCCCTGAATAGGCCTCATTCTCTCCTGAAATTCTTGTCTTGGGAACTATAAGCTGTGCTAACACAGAATGGCTTGCTTTCCCTCCCTGAGCAGTGCTTAGCTGTAGGTCCTGCTACTGTTGTAGAGCCTGAAAAGCAATCGGACAAAAAAGTCATGATAACATAGCTGCAGTAGTGTAGGCGCTTTGTCTCAAAACCCCGGAGTTCACTGGTGACCCATAGTGAAGCATCATTGCAGCTGCGTTGTTCAGAATATCTGTGTGACAGTTTGTTATCTGGAGGAGATGTTAAACCTTCCTCGAAAAACCCGGAAAGCCTGTTCAAACTCTTGAAAGTTTCCTGAATTCTTGTTGTTCCAAGTAGTTTTATTGTTAGTGTTTGTTCTTTGAGCCCTCTCTCTAGATGTTTCCAGGTGAGGAACAGCATACTGCTCGCATGGCAAATTTAAATTTTACTTTTTCAAAACATAATTTTAAAGCCTCCTTATGCTTCTGCGTGAAAAGCAACCACCACATGCATGCAGTCAGGAACAAATATTTTGCTTCTCCTCCTGATCTGCAACTGCTGTAGTCAGATCCAGAAAATTTTCAGAATACAGCTGGCTGCAGTTGAGATTGATTACCAGAACAAACTCAGATGAGTAATCCTTCAGAGGAGAATGCTAAAGAGATTGTATTGATAAAGCCGAAACTTAAAATTTCCCCTTGAAATAGACAGTAGTTTGGTGGGTAAAAGGGAACCCAACGTGTCTTTTAAAAAGAAAGACTTTGCTGCCCTATTTTTGACATGTTAATAATTGAAACTCTAGAAGTTACTAATATGCTTAGAAACAAGACTCATTGCATTAATGTTTATGCAGGCATTTTAATTATACTTTGTTTAAGAATTATTAAATTCATATACTTTAATCACCTGATAATAAAAGAAGTATTAACTGCGTAGTAAAACATTTGCTAAAATAAAATGCCTTAGATGCGTCAGATTTTTTTTTAAGTAGTACTGAAGTTTAACTGAAACTTGATTAAATGAAAACAATGCCATTAGTACTTTACAGAATAAAAGAAGACGAATTTTGCTGTAACAAAATAACAGTTGGGATATGTGTGTCTTAAGCGACACACACACCCCTCCTCCCCCTCAAACTGAGAATTTTTCAGGTGGTACAAAATTAGTATTTCAAAGTTGAGAACATTTTATTAGGAGCTGGGGGTCGGTGTTGTGAATCACTCTTTGCCCACAGGTGCCTTTCTGTCTCCGCTGACTGCAGTAGGGAACTCCTTCATCCTCTGAGTTATGGCTGCATTAAGTTAGGTTCTCAGCATGAGTAGGGTTCCGTACAAACTGAGGAAATGTAATAAAATAAGTCATTCTCTATTAGCAGCGACCAGAATTGGATGCTTACACTTGAGTACTGGTGTGTATGCAGTTATGAAGGCTGACACTTGTTCTAGAAACTTAATTATACCATCTTGGTGCTTATTACTGTGTTAAGCTAGAATACCGTGCTAACCTAGAGGTACTGGAAGGGAAGATGAAAGCTCTGATCTCTTCTTAGTCTGAAACTTTATAAATTGCTTTTTAGTAAGGTGTAGTACAGTATAATTTCAATCATAAATACCACTTTGAATTTAATTGGTTTGTTTTATATTATTTGCTTGCTTTTTCTTACACACGTAATTCACAGTCTGTTTTTGTCACTCTATTCTGGGTTGCAAATTTAGACTAGCTATAATCTAAATTGTGTTCTATGAATATCTGCTAGTTAAACATCTGTGGAAGTAATTATCACTAGAATTTGGATGATCTTTGACTGCTGTGATTGAAGACTAATGAAGAAATGGATTTTTAAAATGTGCAAATAGGTTTGGGCTTCCACCAGCACTGGGACTATTGTTAGAGCGCGGATGTGAAGCAAACGACTTTTCTAAGTTAGAAAAACATGAATTAATACTGAAGTGAAAGAAGGATAGTTTGACTAATGACTCAAGAAATACTTCCTGACACGGTGTGGGATTTCTGTGGGTTCTGAAGAAATACATTTTTTTTCCCTTGGAAAGTTTAAAGAACATCTGTGAGCTTCCTTAAATATCTATGGTCAAATAGGAGGAATTAGAGAGGGAGGGGTTGTGGTATGTGTGTGTTGCACTTTTTATTTAGACTAAACTCAGTGTATTTATTTTCAAGCTGAGCTTTGTGTGAATGCAGGGTTATAGGAAAAATTTATTCTCATTGGTATAACTGTAGCTTTTCTCAAATGACAAATCTAGGGTCATTGGTCAGTTTCTGCCATCAAACTGCCAGTTTAATGTAACAAGAAAGGGAAGAACAAAAGCATATGTCACACATTGAAATTTAATCTCCTGTATTACTGTAATCCAGTTCTTCCTGTATGACACTCTGGTCTTCCTTTGAATTAGCACTGTCTTCTAATTTTGTATCCATCACAGTCTTTAGAGTTCTTGCATCAAAGTCACAAATGAAAGTACTAAACTGACTGAATCCCCGAGGAACAGGTTGAGTAAGTTTTCAGTTTTAATTATTCCTCATTAGTATAACCTATTGTACCCCCTCAGCCAGCTCTGTATCCACCTCAGAATTTCTTTGCTAATCCTTTGTGTTCTCCACCTTGAATTTTCTCTGTGTGCCTCATTCTATGCTAAAGGATAATCAACAACTGATTCATAAGGCAATGATGTTAATCTAGGTAAGGAAAAACCTATCAACATGAATAAAACAATGCATACCTTCTATTTATGGTTGTACTACTGACCTGCTCTTTTTTGCCAAATATGAAACTTCCTGTAATGTTGAGGTCAAAATAACAGTTGATAGTGGCAGATCATTGGGGGGGAATGTAGTTGTGAATTTTGGTCTCTTTAGCTATAGGATATAGCTGCTAAGTAGGTTTTTTGAAATCTCGGTTAAAAGTCTCTGTCTCAGACTAATCATCTGATGATAACTGAATATAACATCGTAGTGTAGCGTTCTGCTTAGGTTGTCTGACTGAAGCCGAGGTAGTAGCAAAGTTTCCCTTGATACTTGTGCCAGCTAGTTCACTGTTCACTCTTTCTGCTGTAATAGCTCTTTATACTGGTGCAATTATTATTTGTGTAGCTATTAGGGAAGCCATATCATGGAATTGACCCAAGTTTAAAATAAGCCTTTGTTTCATCTTTTTTGGTCTGAGTTACTGTGTCAATACAATTAAAATGAGCAGCCCGGGTAATAAGGAAATTGAGACTGTTTAGAGCTGCACTGCTGCTGCAGGTAATGCTTCTGAATTTATACCTTTGGTGGTGAAACCACATAATTCAGGCACATAATTCAGTTTAAAAAAAAAAAAAAAGGTAAAAAAAAAAAGTGTGGAGCTGAAAAAACACAAGCAAATTCTTCAACTGAGAATTCTTAAATTATTTCTCAGTCTAGTGGAAAGGCTAATACTGATTTGTCTGCTTTGAAGCCTGTGGTAAAAGGTCTGTGAACAAAAGGAACATTTTCACCTGTGAAATTCCTCATAATGAATTCCTGCATTTAAAGCTCTTGTTTCTGAAGATCAGTTCTAGAAATTGGGAATGACAGATTTTTCACCTGTGTATTTTCACCTACTTTTTTAGTTAGTTATCAACTCTTCTCTGATTTTAAACTTGCTTAATGAACTATTGGTCCTTAAGCATTTGGTGTTTTTTCTGTAATTGTTCTGGAGTGAATAGTAGGGATGATGTCCTGTTCTTCCTGATGTCCTTTTGTGTAGGTAATACTATGAACTGACTGTTCCAAACGTAAGCATATTTGTGTTAGTTTAATAAAGTATTGTAGCAATACAGTGTCAGAAGAGTACTTTACTGGGAAACAAAAAACCCCAATTTCATGAAGCTGCACACCTTTCCCTGGTGACATTAATTCATTGTAGTTGAAAGTATTTTAAGTCTAAGAATCCAGTAGTTCCAAAATAGCAGCGTCTTTTTGTGGATGCCCTTGATTCTCAGAATTCACAGCTTGCAGTGACACAAATAACATTGTGGTTTTGCTCCGTCTTTTGAAATACGTTTTGACTGCTGGCTATGATTGCATTAATAAGTACTCCTTAAGTTTAATGGAAGTATAAATTCCTTGAGTGAAGATACCAACACACTGTGTGACGTGTGTCGAACACAGAGGAACGCAGTCTTCTTACGTAGAGGGCTCTGCAAGTGGCATTTAAGTAGGGTGAACTGTAAACATAGTATTAAACTTCATTAGATGGAGAAATGTGGTGACCATTTCAGAGAGCATCTGTATTTGAGATTAACATTTGTCTTTTGCCCTGCTCTGTTTTATAGTTGCTGATGCGTATGGTTTCTTTTTACAGATCTGACTCTTTGAGCATCAAATATGACACAGAAGTTAGAGCTAAACAAATGTCAGTTAGTGAAGTAATTAACAAATTGTGTTTTTAATGTAATTTAATCATGTACTGAATGAAAAAAGAGAAACATAGAACTTGTGTCTCAGGAGGTCACTTGGAATGGGTGGAGAACCAACTAGAACAATTTCAAGACAGAAAAGTAGAATTGAAATTGCAGAGGAGACAACACTTTCTGTGTGTGCGCTCTGATTATTTTCTTTGTTTTGAACATATGTCAGGCATTCTCACGGAGTTTTAACTTGCAGCGTTATTGTATGCTCTTGTAATGAAATGTGGATGACATTGATAGATAAGTGTAGTGCTAAAGGCCAAGGCCTGGGACTGCAGTAAAAATGTAGCATTCTAGTGTTTGTCTTCTATATAAATAAAGTGTTTTTCTACTTTAACTTTCAGTCTTTCTTTTCAGCCCTTATTTTGGGGAAGAGTTTTACTTTGAGATCCCAAGAACGTTCCAGTGGCTGTCCTTCTACATTTATGATAAAAGTGTTTTACAAAAAGACTTGCGTATAGGTAAGTTCTGGGATATTGTCTACATCTTGCGTAACATTTGATTGTTTTTAGCATCATTATCTGTATAGTGTTAAGGATACAATTACTAAAGTGATACACTTTTCAAAACACAATGTGTATGGCACTTAAACTAAATGTTCCTTTAAAGTTTGAAAAGCAGGATTTTGTTTCTTTGCTTTATTCTATTATACTAAAATATGTGGGTTTTTTAGGCTAATAGGACATATTATAGTCTTATTAAATTCTATTTGGTTTTTTTTCCACTTCTGTTTCATTGGAATATAATTGTCACTACCTGTAAATCTTTTAAAGAATGAATTGTGGAATAATTCCACAGTAATTGCAGTTGTGGAATAATTCTTAAAACTATTTTTCCTGAGCTTAGTTGAAAAATTACAGGAGATGGATTTCCCCCCCCCCCCCCCCCCCGCCCCCCCCGGCACTGCGTAATGGCTCTATTGCAGCTGCTATTTGGATATAGTTGCTATAAAGCTCTAACCATCTGCTGTGGAAGAAGGCTTCATATTACTTAAATTGAGGAAGGAAAAAATGTGCACCAGGATGCCAGATAATTTGGTATAATAATAGCTTTCCAAATAGCAATCAGAAGAGTAAAAGGCATCTACCTTTAGTTTCCCATTTAAATGTTATTCAGCACCGTTACTCTTCTCTCAGATCTTTATTACGTTATTTCCAGCAACAAGTGTGTTCTGTATTTTACTTAATCTTGTGATGAACGATATCGAAGATAACGCATCATAATCAACTTAATGTGGCTTTATATAAACTAATTTTCTACTTTACTTATGCTTTCATGTTCCTTCTTTCCATAAGCTTTTCATTTAGCATCATAAGCTTAAAAAAACCTAAAAGAAAAATAGTTTAAACAAAAATCAAACTTCAAATCTATTTAACTCTTTGTCCTATTCAGATGAAAGTGATGTTTATGCTTATCTCTCCCTGCCCCCTGCTCCACCAGGAAAGGTGTCAATCAAAAAAGAAGATTTATGCAACTACACAGGAAAAGAGAACTGGTTTATGCTTCAACCCGTTGATTCTAATTCAGAGGTTCAGGTAACTATTAAATTGCACATTTACAATTTTTAAAATTAAATATAGATAACTGCATGTAATGAAGAAGTTTATATTCAGCTGTAGTAGATAGAGGTTAGCATCTAATTCTTGTGAGACAGTTGTGTCTTTCAGCTGGATGAGAGAATGATGCATATTCTACATTTCTAAATTGGCTGTATTGTTCCTCGTGATACTTAAAACTGGCTGAAGACTTGAAGCAACTGTTTGGGAAATGTCTTAACAGTATTTTGATGTCTAAAATCTTTACAAGAGGAACTATGTACTTGAGACAGGTGAATGATTTAGGAAACTGCTGGATCGGTTTTTTTTACTCAGTTTTGATGTTAGCTAAAATGATGACTGTTCATGTGGCATGAAATTGTTAAAGTCTCCAAAACTGGAGGTACTTGTGCTGTGCTCATTTATCTTATTTTGAAATACTTTCTGTATTCAGTATCAAATAACTTGCACTTTAGAGTTGTATTTTGGTCTGTGATTCAAGTTCTTCTGACAGGATTGTTCTAGTAGTACATAAAAATGAGATCACTGTAGAAGTTGTCGCGATTCTCTTTTTGGTTTGAAGAAGAAAACAGAACAGTGTTCTTGAGAATCTCTTAGCCTTGTTGCTGTGATAACCAATTTATTAGATTTGAATAGTTTTTTCAGATTTATCTAAGGGCAAAACTTGGCAGTGTTTGTATTTTTCTAGTACCTTGGAAGTCCCTCTGCGTAGGGAGAATCCTGCCTACTTTTACAAGAGGTGAATGTGCACAGAATTCTCAAAAAATAAAGACATGTTATTTTCCAGGGTTAATCATCTGTGAGCTGTAAGTTTAGCATGCAGTTGTTGGGTAATAGGAGGGCATGTGATTGCTTTACATGAAGACAGATTAGCAAAACACCTGAATACTGCTTTCTGTTATCTGTTGAAAATCCGTCCTCGTTCAGTTAAGATAGAATATGATATAATAGCTCAGTTGGAAGGGACCTACAGATCAACTAGTCCAACGGCAAGTTCTCATTCTTCTTCCAGTTCTTCAATCACTCTGAATATTCTAGAAAGCTATTTTCAGATATAAACTGAAATGCAGTTTTTACTTTGACTTAAATATTGTCATGTTTGCTATGTTTTTTTCTCAGTCATAAAAGTGTATGGAATGAAAGATTACTTTTTGCCATAATACTACATGAGTAAGCATGAAAATTCAATTATAACATTCTATTAATAGAATTTAGCAATTTCTTGCATACTAGAAATAAAAAGTTTTTAATTTGCCATGGCTTTGTAGCTCACAGTGGAATGTAGACTCTTACTGATACCTTTCTATGGCTGGGACGTGTAAAGCACTCTCCTGCATGACATTTCCGTTAAAGGAAGACCTTTTCTGCTAAGGTGTGTGGTCCTCATGTTAATCTTCCTTGAGTCAGGGCATCTGGGTAGGTTTCTCCTCTGTCCTGCTGCTTTTTTCCATGCAACAGCAGAGCTGAGACTAGTTCTCATCTGCCAGATTTGGCTGAAATCTCGTTGGTTTGGATGTGCCACACAGTACTGAAATGTATTTCTGGGAGATTCCCAAGATTATTGGTGGGACATGGCTGAAAATAGCAGGCTTTCACATAGTGTATGTGCAGAAAAAGCACCTGAATGTTTATAAAGCTAGATAACAGTTTTTGGGGAAAAAAAAAACTGTTTTCAGATGTGCTCTTCTCCTTACGGCACCATACATATAGTTGACTTTTTTTTTTTCATCATGGTTCCCTCCATGGGAGTATTTTCCAGAATTTGATGCGTGTAAAGCACTAGGATGTCTTACAAGTATTTCATGTTCCTTGACTATATGCAGGACACATCGCTGTTTGCTTTGTTGTTTGTTTGTTTGGGCTTTTTTTTTTGGGGGGGGGTGGGGTGTTTATTAAATCTTCATTTGTTTCAAGAAAACTGTACTTTCTGTGTACCAGTGATCTATTTTTCCTACAGGCTAACTCTGGTATAGTGAGGACCCTGTGTATCGGGTACATTAGTGATGGAGGTACATAGTGATTATTATGGTATACGGCTTGTAGATGTACAAAAATCCATACCAAGTAATAAGTGCTTTGGCACTGGCTGTCGTCGTCTTTACTGATAAGCATAGCTTGGATATTTTTTTTCTTTACAGTTCATCAGTTCTTGTAGTCTGTATGGGAAATTGGCAGCTCTACCTTGGTAGGACAAATGAAAGTATCACTGGAAGACATTTGAGTTCGTTAATAACTTCGACAGTTTCTAGAAAGGCTTAAAAGTATATTAAATGTAAAGTTTTGTGTTTTGTGGAATTGCCAAGAGTTAAACTTGCTTGTTACTACAAAATAAAACTGGACTGGGAAGGTAGGGAAATAAACAGACCAGTCATTTTGTAAAACCACCTTATCTGTAATAAATTTAGAACTTCTAAAGTAGTGGTCACAATCCACTCCTAATGCAGAAGCTGTAGTTCAGTCATTTTCTGTTGTGGTTCCACAGCTGTATACATACTGAATGTACAATCTGAAGCGGAGGTGATTAAAAGTTCAGCAGAGTAAAAGCACTATATGCTTGAATTAATGTTTGGTGAAAGAAGGGTAGTGGGTATTTCCTTGCAAGTGTGTGTGGGAGGAGAGGGGCCTCTTCCCAGCCATTCATAGAATCATGAAGGTTGGAAAAGACCTCTAAGATGATCAAGTCCAACCATCAACCCAACACCACCGTGCCTACTAAACCATTTCCTGAAGTGCAATATCTACATGTTTTTTGAACACCTCCAGGGTTGGTGACTCCCCCCCCTCCCTGGGCAGCCTGTTCCAAGGAGAAGAGACCCAACACCCGCCTCACTACAACCTCCTTTCAGGTAGTTGTAGAGAGCAATAAGGTGTTCCCTCAGCTGCTTTTATTGTAAGACTTGTTCTCTAGACCCTTCACCAGCCTCGTTGCTCTTCTCTGGACATGCTCCAGCACCTCACTGTCCTGCTTGTAGTGAGGGGCCCAAAACTGAACGCAGTACTCCAGGTGCGGCCTCACCAGTGCCAAGTACAGGGGCACCATCACCTCCCTACTCCTGCTGGCTTTACTGTTCCTCATACAAGCCAGGAGGCCGCTGGCCGCCTTGGCCACCTGGGCACACTGCTGGCTCATGTTCAGCTGGCTGTCAACCAACATCCCAAGATCCTTTTCCACTGGACAGCTCTCCAGTCACTCTTCCCCAAGCCTGTAGCAAGCATCTCATGGGGTTGTTGTGACCCAAGTGCAGGACTCGGCATTTGGCCTAGTTGAACCTCATACAGTTGGCCTCGGCCTGTCGATTCAGTCTGTCCAGATCCCTTTGCGGAGCCTTCCTGCCGTTGAGCAGATCAACACTCTCACCCAGCTTGGTGTCATCTGCAAACTTACTGAGGGAGCACTCAATCCCCTCATCCAGATCATTGATAAAGATACTGAACAAGACTGGCCCCAAAACTGAGACCTGGGGGACACCACTCATGACTGGCTGCCAACTGGATTTAACTCCGTTCACCACCACTCTCTGGGCTCCACCATTCAGCCAGTTCTTTGTCCAGCAAAGTGTACACCCATCCAAACCATGGGCAGCGATTTTTCTAGGATGATGCTGTGGGGGACAGTGTCAAAGGCCTTAGTAAAGTCCAGGTAGACAACATCCACAGCCTTTCCTTCATCCTCTAGGCAGGTCACCTGGTCATAGAAGGAGATCAGGTTGGTCAAGCAGGACCTGCCTTTCCTGAACCCATGCTGGCTGGGCCTGATCCCCTGGTTGTCCTTCACATGCCCGGTGAGCGCACTCAGGATGAATCGCTCCATAGTCTTGCCCAGCACCGAGGTCAGGCTGACAGGCCTGTAGTTCCCAGGATCCTCTTTCCAGCCCTCCTTGTCAATGGGTGTTACACTGGCGATCCTCCAGTCATCTGGGACCTCCTCTATTAGCCAGGACTGCTGGTAGATGATGGAGAGTGGCCTGGCCAGCTCTTCTGCAGCTCCCTCAGCACTCTTGGGTGGATCCCATCCAGCCCCATAGACTTGTAAGTGTCCAGGTGGCGTAGCAGGTCATTAACATCTTCCTCCTGGATTATGGGAGGTTTATTCTGCTCTCCTTCCCTATCTTCCAGCACTGGGGGCTGACTACGCTGGGAATAACCAGTCTGACTATTAAAGACTGAGGCAAAGAAGGCATTAAGTACCTCAGCCTCTTTCTCATCCTTGGTGGCAATATTCCCCCCCACATCCAATGAAGGTTGGAGATTCTCCTTGGCCCTCGTTTTGTTGTTAATGTATTTGTAAAAACATTTTTGGTTGTCTCTTACAACAGTGGCCAGCCTGAGTTCTAGCTGGGCTTTTGCCTTTGAATCTCCTCTCTGCACAGCCTAACAAGATCCCTGTACTCCTCTTGAATTGCCTGCCCTTTCTTCCATAAATGGTAGACCCTCTTTTTTCCCCCCGAGTCCCAGCCAGACCAGTCGTCTTCCGTGCCAGTTCATCTTGCGGCACATGGGGACAGCCTGCTCCTGTGCCTTTAAGACTTCCTCCTTGAAGAATATCCAGCCTGTCTGGACCCCTTTGCCCTTCAGGACTCTCTCAACCAGCATCCTGAACAGACCAAAGTCTGCCCTCCAAAAGTCCATGGTGGTGGTTTTGCTGGCCCCCACTTAACTTCACCTCGAACCAAGAACGCTCCTCATTTCATGGTTGCTAAGCCCAAGATGGCCTACAACCACCACATCTCCCACCAGTCCTTCTCTGTTAGTAAACAGCAGGTCAAGCGAGGTACCTCCCCTGGTAGGCTCCCTTACCAGCTGCGTCAGGAAGTCTCTTCCACACACTCCAGGAACCTCCTAGACAGTTTCCTCTTTGCTGTGTTGTATTTCCAGCAGACGTCTCCTAAGTTAAAGTCCCCCAGGAGAGCAAGGGCTAGCAATTGTGAGACTTCTGCCAGCTACTGCCTGGGTGGTCTACAACAGACTCCCAGCAGGATGTCTATCTTGTTGGCTTTCCCCCCTCATCTTTACCCAAAAGCACTGGACCTTGTCATTACAATCATTGAGCTCTATACCATCGAAGCGGTCCCTAACATACAAAAAAAAAACCAAAAAAAAAAAAACCACACAACAAAAAATATTCGTCTTGTTTTCTTACAACTTTTTCCATTGTCTACTAGTTCTTGGAAAATATACATGAATGTGGGAATACTAAGCAAGTAAAGTAGCATTTGAAAAGTTGAGTGCAGCAGACTATATTTAACCACAGCTGGGGCCTACTTGTTTATAAGTGTGTGTGTGTGTGTGTATATATATATATATATAAAATCGTCATGTTTTCTAAAATGTAGATACCCTCAGCATGCTAATAAAATTCTTGGGATTGCTTATCTCCCCCTACCCCCTTGTTTTTTTTTCTTAAATCTTCATTTAGCTGGTTTGAAGTGAGGTCATATCATTAAACGTACCCTGAATCTTTATTATGCGTAGCAAGAAACATTTTGTGGAGATTTGATTTATACTTGCAAAATACATTGCTGAGGTGAAAATCTTTCACACACTTCTAAGGTTTTTGAAGGTAGCTTTAACATTCCCTGTTTTCTTTCTTAAAATTGGTAGGATTTATAGTTATTGAAGTAGTGTACTCCTAATAGATTCCCCTCATGCTCATGCAGAATGTGTAAATTTGGAAAAAAATGGAGACTGAGCCTCAAGCCAGCTGATAGATTCCTAGTGGCTCACATCTGTAACCCTATGAAAGACAAAAGGTCAAAGTAAACGTCGTGGGATTATCCGAGTTGAGCGAATATTCCTAGTACTATGAAACTGTCAGCCATTACATAGTGCGAGGAGCTCAGTGTGGTAGACAGTAACATGTAGTACACTTCAGAAACATGGTATATGTTTGCTCTAATTTAGAATGGGAAAGCTGGAAAAAAGCCAGTGGAAGCTGATAGAACCTGTATCTGCTATGTAGAGATGTTTTTGCAGTAAGCATGCAGAATTATCAATTCGGGCAGTACTAAATGTGGGAATAGTATGTAATTTGTGGAGTGTTCTAGAGCCCCAGTTTTACTTACCATATGCTGCGAGGACTTTAATTTCCCAAAGATGCTTCTGAGTGGATAACGTGGGTTATTTTAGGTTCCTTTTTTTATTTACTTTAATAAAAAGTCTCTAACTCTTGGCTTAGATTTTGGGATTTTTTCCTAATTGGATGTTGGCAGTGTGTGTATGGTATAAAGATGGTCTTTCTTATTTTTACAAATTCAACAGTTCAGTTGTGATATTTGTTCCACTGACCTGGGGGAAGTGGGAAGGAAGAGGACAGAGAGTTCAAGAGAAATATTGTAATCCAGAGTTTTTGACGTTGAGGGAGGAACTGGAAAATAACTGTTAGCATTTATAACTGTGTTTAAACCCCCCACCCACCCTCAATAACTCTCACAAGTGTAGGCTACCCTTCAGACATAAGAGTATGCATCTTCTCTTGAATTTAAAGGAGAGAAGGTTTTATGAAGGAAACTAACACTGTCAAAAGTTACTTTGTGGTACACTGGGAGCGGTAGTGTGGTTCTGAGTATGGAATGTGGGCACAGTGTGTGAGTGCCTATTGGCGTAAGTATATAAAATACAATTGCTAGCCCAGTTTCCACTTAAGAGCTTTAGAAAGCAAGAAAGCTTGTATTTATTATAGGTACTTGTAATATTTCATAATGTGGAAATTATCAAAATATTGAAACTCGGGGGATCAAAAAACTCTGAAAATACAGGGTTAAAATGCAGTAGCAATTCCAAAAACAGTACTGTGCAACTGAACTGTTTTAGTAGTTCTGAAGTTTAGGTTGGTGATTTGGACACTCTGGTTTTGGCTCCTTTGTTAATATTTGGATCTTGGCCACGTGATCAACAGTTCCATCTTCTAGTCACTATCTGAAAATTGATTGTTAATCCATTTGTAAAGTTAAAATGGTACCTACCTTCCTTTGAACAAACCTGAGATCTACAGATGAAAAGTGCATTCACATAAAGTGCACTGCTCATTTATTGTATAAGAATGGCTGATTTTTTTGTTTTGAACTAAAACCAACATGTACAACCACATTTAAAACCCAATTACGTGTTATGTCAAAAGTTCTGATATAAATCTGCCACTTTAGGAAACCATTGCACTGCTGTCAACAAACAAAACAACAAAAATGTACCTGAAATGCTCCATACATGTCAGGGAAATATTTACTTAGAGCCACGTTACTGTAGCTGTCATGGTGCTGAGTTTTGAACTAACTACACTTACAGGTAGTTCTCAGGAGCAGTAAACTTCCTATTTTACTCCTGCTGATCAGTGTGAAACACACAATTTGTGTTCATTTTTTTAAAAAAGCAAAAGGAAGATATTTAGGCCATTCACAAAGTCTGCCTGCTAAAACTAGTTAGGTCAGCTACTACAATAAATAGTACTAATGTTGTCTTTTCATTTGTCATTCAAAAACTTTGCCTTGTAAGGCTGTTGGCATGCTTCGCAGTATCCTGTTTTTATCCTGTAAATCTATTTTTGTAGTTGAGTTTCTCTGCTTGACAAATACTTTCTTAACGTACCTGTGTTCCAATCCATGTAGTAACAGTTTGCGAAATACTTGGCAGGCATCCCAAAATGGTTACGTTTAAAACTTCCTTATAAAAGAAACTTCACTTCTCCTCCCATGTGACATACAGAGAGAGAAACACAGCCCTTGCCCCAGGGGATTTACAATAAAAACATCTCGGTTTTATGTCAAAACAAAAGTGCTGTAGAAATGTGTGCAAGGTCAGCTAAGGGTTTTACTTCCATTTTAGTGTTGGACAGCAAAACTGTAGGTCAAATTACAGCTTGGTTCCTTTGCCACGCTTTAAAATTACCTCCCAGGTCCCTTCCGTAAGAATTGTAATCGTGGACTGACCAGTGTCATCTGATGTTCCATTTAGCAAATAGACAAATTCCAAGAATACTAAGGAGAACATGGTTTAGAGGAAAGACTGTATTGGTGTCTGGCTATCTTAGGTGTGAAAGCCAGCACAAATAGCCAGGTACTGAAAGAAGTAGCAGTATTGTTCAGGCAGCAGATGGTTGGACCAAAGGTTGTAATACCAAATTTTGGTCATCCCAAGAAAATTGCATGTCATGATTTGGAGATTTTGGAGCCTTTTATTGGGAGATTGAAGTAGGCTGGTCCTTGCCGAGTTTTGAAGTTAATCCATGCTGTGCCGTCATTTATGGATTCTTAATACATCCTGCTGTATCAGAAAAAGAAAAGGAGGAAGCCAGGCTCAAAAATTGTTACCACCTTTTCCTCTCCTTTGGTTGCGTTTAGTGTTCCACGAGTACATCAGCAGACTTCATGAGATAGTTGAGAGCTGCACTGGGATGCATAAGAAGTTTCCAGATGACCTTTGATCTAGTGGGATGGACAGGATTTCACAGCTGGATGTTAAATATTGCTAGTTACGGCTGCTGCATACTATTCAGCTTTTTTAAATACACCTAACTGCCTTCAGAGTCCCAGGTCATTTTAGAACTTTCTCCTGAAATGCTCATAAATTCACTGTCTGTCTGTTTAAGGGTTCATCCTGTGCTTAGGACAAAAAAGCTGAGAGCGTCTTTTGCTCTTGGTACTTCCTCATGCTGAAAGAAATATTTTTTGTGTGTGTGTTAGGTCTGTGGAGGCTTGACCAATTTATGTGCTGTCTGCAGTTGAGGATAGTGCTTCCCTTTATCATTGCCTCTCAACGTTCAAATGCATTCATCATACTCTACGATACATGCTTTAGAATAGGTATTTGCTTTAAGTGGATAGATTGGAATAACCTTAAGTAGCTTCTAGCTGTAAACGATATTATTGTTCTAATTACTGCTTTTAAAACTATTGTGTTTCTCTCTTGTTTTTTTCAGGGAAAGGTTCACCTTGAATTAAAACTGAATGAACTGATAACAGATAATGGATCTGTGTGCCAACAACTAGTAGTACAGTAAGAAAATACATCAATCCTTGAATATTTAGTTGTTTGTTAAAACGTGATGTGATTTGTCTCTCTTAATACTGAATGTCTGCACATTCTGGTACCCATAACATTTTTCTTTTTATATGACTTTCTTGGGAGCCTACCTTGCTGAGGGAATGGGTATACGCTTAGGGAACTCCTGTGGAAGTTTTTCACAACAGCTTATCTCTGTTGTTCCCAAAGCACTCACTTTTATTAGGATTCGGCATGGCTCTCTGGTGTCATGAGTTCAGTGTCTTGTAATTCCAGTTGAATTGGGTGTGGTGACAAAGCTAGGAATGCCTGCTGCCACTGACAGCCAGAACTTGCAGTACTGCTGTTACTGACGGAATTGAGCCGCTGGTGGTGGTGTTTGGAACAGTGTGAAACTTTTTCAGTAGTAATATTTCAGTTTGATATGTGAAAATCCACTTTTAGTTTTGCTTCAGAATTACTTTCTCATGGTTAACAATGATAAGCAATGTTTATAGAAAAACAAAGTACATGAGTTGCTGTTCTGGACCAGCATAATGGTGCCACATTTCAGTAAAATTTTTTAGCAACAATTTACAGAGTTTTCACTACCAAACTTAATTTTTACTCCAAAGTGTAAAGACATTACAGCATGTCAGAGCCTCATAGAAACAGTAAATTTTTGATTTATGTTATTTCAAACAAGACAAATTTCACCAATATTAAAGAAAAAGCACAGAATGAGACATATTGGAAGATACAAACTAGTCTGTGCTCTTGTATTGTTACTCTTGGAGCTGTGTTTGATAATGATCCTATATGGTGGCTTTGGGAGTCTGAATATACAGGTTATGGACATCAGTCACAGAAGACCAAAGTTCCCCAAGTACTGGTGGTTCTGTCTCTTTTTATTCATTATTAAGCAATACATTTAAGGCCAGAAATCAGTAAGAAGCTAGTGCAAATACAGCTATACAAAAGTGTTTTGACACTCTCATAAAAAGTTTGTCTGATAAGGGTGTACTAGAAGACACCAGTCTCTAGAAACTAATCCTGTCCTTTATTTTGGAAGAAGTCTGACAGCCTTCTGTGTTGCTTGTCTCTGGGAGTCTGTTTGCTTTCATTGAGGAGACCGGTGGAAACCATTGACTTGCAGAGACTCAGTGAGATTGACAGCATTCTCTTGTGACTCTTCCTTAACGTTCTCAGCATGAGTAAGGTTCAGGAGAACAACCCAGTCTTACTGCAGTTTATTTTTAGTGCTTCAGAAAGAAATGAAGGCTTTTCCCCACTTATCTTCTATCAGGATAGGCTGTGTGAAGAAAAAGGTACAGATAAGGGAGTTGTAAAGACTAAGGGAGAATTAAGACTGAAAACTCAAAGATAGTAAGATTCTTTAATTTTGCTTTCCAACGTTGTTCATTAACTTATATTTATTCAGAGAGTGAGGTTTTTTGTTTGTGCTTTTTTAAAATCTTCTCTGAGAACTTAGTATGAAAGAATGGGTTGTATTGCGAAATTGTGAGGAGAGGAAATGGTGTGTGGTCTTCCGTTTGTCTCAGTGACTTGATGTTCAGATCAGCTCCAGGGAGCAGGGGGAGACCATTACACTGTCAATTTTGCTAATGTAATTTTTGTTATGAAGTTTAAATTACGTTCTTTCTGTCTTAGTCATCTATCTAAACCAAGATGAGTAGTTTAGCTGGAGCAAGACCTAGCAAAATAATCTCTGCTTTTCTGTTGTGTTACTTGGTGTGAAAAGGGAAGCTAGTTCTGCACTAGAACTAAGCCAGTGAAACTGGTAATGCTTTAGTGGCTATTGTAGGCTGATAATTCAGGCAAGATGTGGAAACTGGGTGTACATCAATGTATATTTACAACATAAAAATAGTTTTGAATGTGTTTCTGCTTGTATAGTGGGTGGCAGCTTGGTTCATTGGGAGTCCTGCTGCTCTGATTTTTGTATCCGACTTGCAGCATAAGGCAGAATTAGAGCAGGTTTTCCCCCATGGACTGTTCACCATCAAAAGCTGGCTGGAGCTTTATGACTTTGTGTTTTATACTCCTCTTAACTTTCTGATTTTTAAAATGTTTTTTATATATATATTCGTGCACTTTAATGTAAGTTAGATTTTTTTATTATTATTATTTTTCTAACATGTCTGGATTTTTCATATGATGAAGAGCAGTTGCTTTAAAAAGTTACTGTTTCAGGTTGCAGTTTTGAATGTGAAGTGGGTTACTCGCTGTGCCCTCTCTTAGGATCTCTTTATGACAGAGATAAAGGATCAAAAGGAAGCCAGGGTTCTCTCGTGGTTTCTGTACTCACCCACGCACTGACATGTGGGAGAGGATTGTGCGTTAAACACTGCAGTGTTACATCAGTACTTTCGTCTTCATCTGAGATTATGAAATGCACCAGAGCTCCATAAACTAAAAATGTTTAGTAGTATTTTATCACACATGCTGATAGTCTTGAAATAATTGGCTGTGTAAGTAATATATTGTACATAAATATACTCTCACATGCACATCCAAAAATAGGAGAAATAAGAAATCTCTCACTGGATATAGTATTATAGAAATGGATGTAAGGGCATTTTTCAGATGCTTTTGATCTTAAAGCACAAGGAACTTACAGAAAATACATGTGAGGTTCATTAATAGAAATTTTAAACTCTTTAAAATCTGTTTATTTTGAAAATTTCCAAGGGTGATTAGTCAGAGATGTGGTTATTGCTGTGTTTGTTTAGTCATCAGGCCCTGAGAAGTCATTGTATTAGTAACTCCTTTAAAAAAGCTGAAAGATAGGAAATAGCAGAGCTGTGATTGAGTAAAAAAAGACAGAGTGGGCATATATGTATATTTCTGTCCCTGTCTCCTCTTGATCTGTCCAAAACTGAAAAAGTATTGCGCAAAGAAGAAAGAAAAAAAATTCTTAGAATATAGGCTATAATACTTGCCTTTCAGAGACATGTTTTACTTCATGTCAGAATTGACGGTCTCTCAATGTTGTGAGACATGGAAGCTTTTAAACCTTCACTAGTTACGTGTTTTGCAGGGTAAGAGATTTCTAGACACTTGTGCTGGCCTGTGTGCATAGCTAAGTTTCTAATGGGTTTCCACCCTGGGAGTCCAGAAGTTCCACAAAGATGAAAAATAGCAGCTATAACTTTCACAACACAAGATTAAAGATCGCGTTAAGCGCACAGACATAGCAAGTAATTCAAGGGCTGTGATTCTGAGCATTATCTGGAGTCCTCCAGCACTGTTTTGTGGCTGAACCAAAGTGATGGGATTAGACCTGACTAGGAGATGGATTTATATTGTTTTGGCCTGTGGACATGGTTGTAGAAGGGTTTTTTGCTGGTCTTCTGGGTGGGTTTTATGATGAGGATTGATTGAAGAACTGAAGGTAATTCCAGTAGGAAGGAGTTTTTAAAACAACAGTGAGCTGCTGCTGATGTTAGCCTCTTACAGCTAATGTGGGAGGGAGGAAGGCTTCACTTCTCATGCTAGTATGTATAGTAAACCCAACTTTTCCAAATAAGAAGTTGTTGGGAAAAGAACATACGATTTTAGAAAGAGAAGTGTTGCTGCAGGTGATGAAAGGATGGTCAGTTGTTGTAGAATGAAGAGAGGAATGCAGTTCCTCATGTTTCTTTCCTTTTGTCATCCATTCCCCTGCCTGCCACCTTCTGTTTTTGTTTTTAATTGAGATCCTTATTAACGCTGTATTCCCCAACTTCGTGTAAGGGAGGTAAGCTTGGGGAAGGATAGATATTAATATATCATAAACTATTTTTATATCAGCAAAGCTGTGGTTAGCAGTCCAAAAAACCCCTCACTTCTTAAAAACTGGAAAAAACCGGAAGTTTCCTTCTTTTCCTGAAATTGACAAAAAGTGGTCATGTAAAACATACACTGTAACTGACTGATCTGGTCTTATCTGGTGGCAGGGGAGGGGAATGGTGGCCAGTTTTCTTAGGGTGGGACTTTCTGAAGCCAGCTAGGGCTTTCAGGTTGTGTAAGCATTCTGAAAACATGATACTGAAATACTTCTTTCCCCCCCCCCCCCCCCCCAAAGTAAAATTAAGACTTGTATTTACTTTTCTTAATATCAGTGAAGCCCTTAACTTGTTTTGAAACACAACCGTAAAGTTAATCTTCCTTTTGTGAAGGGGCTGTCTTAGCGACTGCTTACATTGGGCTAAGCCCTGATTTTACATGCAATTTTTTTTTTAATTGGAAACTTGCGGTTACATGTCATGTAGATACACCCACTGAACGTTTCTGAATTAAAATTTTGTTTTGTCTCCCATTCTGGTTATTTCCTTTTCTAATGTGTGAATGAGGAGGGGAAAAAGATAATGCAGTAGATTAACTGCTGACTCAGTGTGGACTCTCTTTTTCAAAACCACAAAGGCATGTATAGTAGCACATTTCAAAAATATATGCTTGCAGCTCTCCTTTCTGGGAGTCTGTAAAAACAAGTTTGCGTGACCGTTGTTTGCATGTTTGCTGCTGAAATGGATGACACTTGAACGGTTTCTTGCCAAATTAGGCTCTTGGAGGGCAGTACTTGCCTTCTCTGTGCTTGGCATGACTTCAGCTCTTAAAGAACCAGTTTTATGTATTTACAATGTGAATACTTGAAAGCCCAAAAATGGCTTATTAGAGCTAGATTTTTCCCTTTATTTGCATTTACTTTTCTAAATGAATTATACACTATACTACCTTAAAGTGACCTGTCAGTTTGTTACTGTCCTGTTTATTTGCTCACATGAAGACTTTCTAGGGAACGTAACAATTTTTATGAAGTGTACAAATCCTGATGGCTGCAGTTACTTAGTTTCTGCACTTGGAGGACTTCAGTTGATTGGAATGGTGGAGGTCGAGTCTCTCAGTCATTGAGTGGGTTTATTGTGGGCTTAAGGACTTATTTCCATCTTACGAGCTGCTTGGATGCCGGTTGTATCTGAAAGGCTCCTATTTCCTGTATGAAACTCCTCTTGCAGAACAAACTACTGAGATGTGAAGCAAGAATCAGTGTAAACTGAAAGATCTCTTACACTGTACTGTAACTGATCAGTAGTTTGAGAAAAGAACAAATGCCCTGCTGTTAGCTGTTGCGTAGACTTTACATGAAGATGTAGTAATTTAAAACATAAAATAAAGGGCTTTTATGGTCCTGTCGACTTCTTCAAACTCTATGCATATTTAAACCTTTTGAATGATAATTGCTTGTGCCAGCCTAGATAGGTGAAGCCATTTGTCAAAGCTGAAATGTTTACCATATGGTGGAAATACATTTATTATGATTGTCAGAATAGGAACATATATTTAGTCTTATTTTATTTTTTGATTGGTCAAAGTGTTTGGGGTTTTTTAGGCGGTGGTGGTGTGGTTTTTTTTGTTGTCTTTTTTCTTGTTGTAGAATGTTGCAGTTCTAGCACTTTGCTTGATTCTTTAGGGAAGGGCAGTATTCCTGTGAGATTTGCTAGCTGGTAAACTTGTTAAGGTTACACTTTCCAATTTCTGTTAAGTCTCCTGTAATTGAGCCACTTCAAACATCTTCAAAATTTTTTTGTTTACTGGAGGCTGTTTGTTGAGTAGCTTAAAACTATCTGCAATAACTCAGTCTCATGTATTCAGACCCTAGGGAGTAACAGTCCAGTTTGATAGTGCTCAGTTGATTTAATGGCTTCCTGCCCTTAATGGCTACTTGCCTTGCACTGCCTTTGAAGCTTGTGAGATCCGCTGCGTGACTAGGTTAATTTGGGTTGCCAAGCTGACTGAAAACTGGCTCGAAACCTAAATGGCTTTCTGTAAGGTTAGTAAACAGAATCACCATAGGTGATACATGCAAGGCAGGAGTGTCAGAGAGGGAGGAGGATCCACTATTTCAGTGTGTTTCAGTTGACTTAGCTGTGCTGTCTGTCTAAAGCAGCCTCCAGGCTGGCAGAGTTAAGGGATGGTGATAACTGGCTAGCTTAGAGTAAGAGATGGAAGGGGAGGAGGTAAGATCAGTTCAGAACAAATTCTTGAGCCTGAGGGGTCTGAAAAAGAAAGATTTGGGAGTGTTAGGAGTGGCTGGTCAGGGGGACTGGGTATAGTTTGTCTTTTGAGATGCAGGAACAGGGTACGCTGTCTAAGCTAGGTAGACCTCACTTGCTGGCAACAGAACTGGGACTTGGGCAGGAGATGAAAAGGGAATGCTGGAACTGCCTGCACAGGGCGACTGACTGGAGCAGGAAATCAGCTTGAAGTGACAGATCTGTGTGATGAATCCGGAGATTCTAGTTCTGCTGCAAGGCTGTGTAGTTGTCAGTAAAATGTTTTTCAAGTTACAGAAAATGACAAACAAGCCGCCTTTTCGTTTGTGTATGTTGCGGTCAAGCTGTAAGAAGACTGAGGAGGCTGGAACAAGCTGTTTCTGTAACCAAAAGTAGGGCATTGTGATCAGTTTTTGTTGGTAGGTCATTCATACAGAGATCAGGGAAGGAGTGAGAAACTATACATAGGGAAAGAAACTGCTTTCTGTAGGATGTGCATCTGTTTGCTAGAGAAATCCAGGAGCTTGGTGGACGTGACACAGGCTGTAGGAAGAGAAATTGTGGTGTTCTTGTTAAAATAGTTGAATTCTATCCAGATAAGTTTGATTTGATCCGTCTGCTACGAATTTCCTATGAGGTTAAAGTTGAGGCTAACTCATAGGTGCTCTCAGTGCTCACCTGAAACCGAAAATCTCTGGGAGCTGCAGAGACAGTATGTTCAGTGCTACAAAATGCCTGATAGTCTGAAAGAATCAAGTTCTTGCTGCTTCAGATCCGATACCCCAAATGACTGAAAGTCTAGACAGTTTATTTTTGTCACCACTCTTCTGTGTCACGTGTGTGTTGGAGGAGGAATCAATTATTGCTTATGAAACACCATTTAAATGGTGGGTTTAAAATCACTGTAGGGTTCATTGTGATTCAAAAGTTATTGAAATGCTGAAGGCCACGTGCTTGAAAACTGGAAGAAAAATAGCAAATGATTGTGTAGTGGTTCAGCACTAAATGTTCCCTGCACTGGCTAAGACAAAGGGACTTTTTTGGGGGGAAAATACCATCTGGTTTGTGATCGTGCATGCTCCAAAGCGGGTGGAGTTTTGAGGCAGCACAGGAGTGTTAGTGTCTGTTGTTTCCCCACTTGTGAATGTTTGACTTTGCAACTCTTGTTATTCTTTTAACTCTGTTTTTCTACAGTACAGAAAACATTTACTTAACAACAGTGTATAGGTACTGTTGCTGCTATGTAACTTTAACGTGATATGCACAATTTACTATTCCACATTATTAGTATGAGAACTTTTACTTGAGTATTTATATGAACTTAGAGAAGAAAAGTCTATTTTCTCCTGAAGTTACGTAGGTTTTGGATTTTATTCAAACTGGCTAATTATGGTAACCAAAACTTACTTGCATTAATTTAGTTAAACTCCTGCAATACATTATTTAGAAATAGATTATTTTAAGAAGAGAGAACAGGAATATAATGTTCAGAACTCATTTATGTCTTGTTTATGAAATTTTGTAATTTGCTGAATGTTTCTGGACATAAATACTGCAGTGTGCATGGCTACATTAGAGCACCATTCTGCAAGAAAGTCTGGTTTCTGCTGTAAATCTACAAAGTGTTTTGCTTTACTTCTGTTGTTCCAGCTGTTTTTAGTTAATGCTCATATGTGAGCGGCATCCGAAGGTTAGTCAGCTTGCTGACCCAGCTTTGTTTCTAGTAGTGTTGCGGCTCTGGTGATTCAAAAAAAATGGCAAGCCTTCGGAAAAGGTCCAGGAAATGTGTCTCTGTCCCCATGAGTATTACTTTCTAACCATCCTGTCCGTTTTGCATCAGGAGTCATGGACAGTGTGCCTACATACCTGTTAAAACAGCAGCTTAGAACTTACTGCAAAAATTATAGAAGAAAACAGTATTTTTAAAAGGGCTGTTTAACCCTGATCGTGCACTATTGTGAAAAGAGTTTTAAAATGAACTTTAAAAACTATTTCAAAGGTAAACTGATTTTCTCTTTGTGGCTGAATAGTATGGATGGAACCTAGACATGCTAGGACTATGTACTAATAGTTTCGGATGCTTAATTTTAAATAACGTTTCACGATATGACTCTGCATTTTTTAGCTTACTCAACTCAGAAAGTAATTCAGCGGAAACAAAATATTTAAATCCATTTTAATGCCTTCCAAATGTATTGCTGTCATGTGGATGAGGCTAAATAGCTTTTGGTGGGCTTTGAGAAATCAAATTTAAAAGTTATTGAAGTCAGCAGTTTCCCCTAACATAGCTGTTCATTTTACTTAGGATTTAGCCATGTATGTGTGATACTGCAATGTCTTTTATTGAAGCAATTACAAGAATTTTGTGCTCACGGAGCCCCGTAAATCTGACTATACACTTGAGTGTTACCTGGTATTACCATCCAGAGATCTGTAGTTACAACCTACTTCGTGTACATAAATTACATTGGATCAACGTATGTATTGGTGTGTAATACAGCAGGACTTAAAAAACATCTTTTAAGAAAGAAAGGATCATTTGGGGTTGACTTTTTTAAGCCAAAGACATTGCTTCACTGATCTATTGATTGCCTTTTCCTTGTAGCATAAAGGAGTGCCATGGGTTGCCTCTTATAAATGGACAGAATTGTGATCCTTATGCAACAGTCTCTCTCGTGGGGCCTTCCAGGTAACATTTCAGTATAAATTTAATGAGTCTAAAATGCTGTGATCTTAAACTGGAAAAGAAAGTCATAGGTTTTAAACAAAATCTTTAAAATACAGAAAAATCTTAGAATGTTTCCTGTGTACATCAGATTTTCTATTGTTACTGTCCTCTCCCCTTCTGTACCATACTCTCAAGATTGTGAAGGTGTTTGGTCTGTCTGAATGGCCTACACTGGTCAAGAATCACTTGTCACTCAGTTCATTCTTTTTTCTCAGATTTGTACTGGACTCTTGGTATCTGCACTGTAGTTCCTGTTTTGTCAAATTTGTGTATGGGAGAATGCTGTCAGTTGCTCACCTGCTGTCCTCTGTTCCCTGTTTTTTTTAATGCATGAGTTTATTTGCACTAAATGTTTAACGGTTGGGAGGAAGCAAGAGTGTGGAGGTTCTTGTGAGACCTTTCCAATGCCAGCACGTTCAGGACGCTGCGCTCAAAATCCCCACAGTTTAAATGTCTTTTTTTTTTTTTTTTCTTGGATCAGTGATCCTGAATAGCTGTTGCGGTTTATCATTTAAGAAAAATCCCGTATCCCACACATTCAGTGTCTGCAAGTCCCTGCCCAATAACATCTAAAGTTGTTTATTTTTTGCAACATCAAACCGAAGTCCATCTGCTTTCTCTGGTACTGAAGAATTGCCACTGTGAGCGTAGTACCAGAACGTCTTCTGGCAAACTTGGTGTTTGAAAGACTTTGGAAGGATTGCCCCCAAGTAAGCTCTGAGTGAGTGGGGCATTTTTCCCTACTTGGTAATACATGATCGCATTTTTTTATGTTTGGGTTGGGTTTTTTCAGTGGGTGTATTTTTTTGGTTTGGTTTGGTTGGGTGGGTTTTTATTAAGAGGACTAGGGAGATGCAAGTATTATACCTGGGAAAGCACAGTTTTGATTGCCAAAGAAGGTAAATTGATGTATATTTCCTATTTGAGCCCTGTGGTGCAGAGGGAACTGGGTGAATGTTGGTCCCACACAGTATTTACCCTGTTGATATGGGAATATATTTGCAAATCTGACAGCAGTTCCTGGTTAAGATTTTCCAATCTCATGCATGTGTGAGTCACATACCGTGACTGGAATATTTGTATGGCCAGTGCCTGAAAACAGTTAGTTGATCTCTAGGACAGTTTTTCTTCTCCCTTGTCCCTTCCCACCCCCCACCCCCATTTTATATTGGTTTCTGTCAGAACCACTATTATAGCACTTTATTAACTAAATATGACTGTATTATGTTATAAAATGTGTAAAAATAATTTAAAAAAACCTTCAGAAACCACAAGGGAGTGGGGAGCAATTGTTTTGTTTGATCCTATGCTGTTTAGCATTAACAGTGATCCCCTCCAAAGAAAACATTCAGTGGCATGGCGTAAGGCTCTGTCTGTAGAGAAGCAGTGGGTATTTGTCCAACAAAAGAGGGTGGGGAAAACCAGAAACTGGCCGTTGAACAAGACAAGGAGAACTGTGTTTGTAACCTGCAAGCAGTGGTAAAGAAATTGTCTGTAGACTTAAGTTTGAAACACTTTAGAAATTGTTGATATATTTGTTTGACTTCATATGTCTAAGTTATACTCATTTGTGATGGGAAATAGAAACTTTGGCCTGGACAGATGCACTAGATACAGCACTTGAAATTTCAACTTTTCATACTATATTGTGAAGATAAACTATTTTATTTAAGATTTTCTTTATTGATCAGTGATCTCTAAAATGACGAAAAATGTTTTAACTTAAATGCATGGGTCCTTCTTGACAATAGAATGTCTTTATAATTGTGTGTTTAAGTTGTCTATGGTAAAAATTTTACCACATTGGAACAGGAATGACCAAAAGAAGACTAAAGTAAAGAAGAAAACAAGCAATCCGCAGTTTAACGAAACATTTTATTTTGAGGTAACTTTTTGTGTGGTATTCTGCCTGTTTATCTATTTTATGCAACCCTTCAATATTTTTAAGCGAGCTGCATTGCAGTACCTAACACAGAAAGCTCTCTTCAAGCAAGCTGAAGAGCTTTTACTAGCCCCTCAAATAGAAGTGAATGACATACTTAAATGGGGCTGCCAGACAGTAGCATTCCCCTTCAATTGCTGTGTGAAAAATGACTTCCACAGAAGCACATATGTGAAGGTATTTTGTTATCTTGAATCACTTTATATGGTATCTCTTGCCATCAGGAGTTCTGAGAGAACCTATCCTGTGGAATTTGCTTTAAAGATTTTTAAGAACATTAAGCTAACAAAACCCCCAACTTATTTATTTAATAAAACAATGTAGTTATACCAAATACAGGATAATTTTATTAATTATTTAAAAAGTGAACTTTTTTGTTATTTAGGATTTTATTTCAGTTCTACACGAGTTACCCTACAATAACCAAATTAGGACTTTGAATTTCTATCTGATTTGTCTCTGTAATAAAAAGTACATTTGCATGTAAGCATACTATAGTGTTCAGCTGAGAGCTGGAAGTAGTGCAACTATTACATGTGCCTCAAATGCATTATAATTTAAAGTGTTGAGATCCTGGTCCTGCTGTGGGACTTCAGTGAGAAATTGTTCCATATTTACCTATCGTATCAACATACGGTGTGTGTTTCGGTTGACCTGCTCAGGATACTGAGTGTAATTTCTCAGGAAATAAGATATTAGGATAAAAACATGATCCAAACCACTCTGATAACTTCATGACTTATGATTTGAGTTAAACTGAGAATTCAATCAGGCAAGAAATGAGGAAAATTAAAACAAGAGGTTACAATTGTGTAGTTAGGGCAAGAAGAGTGGACTAATTTGTTGTTTCCTTAAACATCTCAGAACTACCTTTAATACTTTCTTGGGGCTCATGCTGAAACCAGAGAAATTCTTGCCATTTTCATGTCGTACTTCTTTCTTGTTTTCTCTAATAGATCTATACTGTAATTGCCTTAGATAGCAGCTAGCCCTCACCAGGCTCTACCATGAACCCTTCTTGACCCATTTTTCACCTGCTTTCTGTCAAAAGGCAGTTTGTTTGGTGAACTGAACCTTCTCCTTTTTAAAAGGATCAGTAACTATTTACCAATGGTAAAGAGTCAGGGTTTTCTTTGTTTTCTGACATCCATAATACAACAGTAAAAAGTGTGTTAATGGGAGGAATTTACTTGCAGGTAACCAGGTCCAGCAGTTACACGAAAAAGTCCCAGTTTCAGGTGGAAGAAGAAGATATTGAGAAACTAGAAGTGAGGTAAGTTAAGTAGATTAGAAAGTGATTTATTTTACCATTAATAAAACCATAATATTTATCACTGAGACGAAGAAATGTTTTAGTATACTCCAGAGAATTACTGATAAGATTTGTAGAAAAGATCCTTCTAACATACGTAATTACTCAAATGTTTTAGTGTGTTTCTTACTGAAGATGAGTTTATTTTAAGTAAATAGTGGTAGAATGTATTTAGAAGCCTAAACTTGTTTCCTGTGCCTGTGAGTAAAAGAGACATGAGGACCTCCTATCAATATATATGTAAGTCTGGGCAAAATATTGTTAAGAGAGCTTGTACTGAAGGATAACAGCATACCTGATGCTAATCTGTGGTTTCAAATGTAGTTGGCTGTTTTAATAAAAGCAGAGGGAAAAGCCTCTTTTATGAGATTATTACAGTTTCACATTGCTTCTTAGAACATTTGCACTGCATCTTTTCTTTGCAAATCCAAAGAATGCTTCAAAGTACATGCTCCTTTTCTACCCTTAGACCAGGTCTGTCTGTATTTATGCTATGTAGTTAGAACAGTTGAGAGCTCCTGTACCCAGTTTCTTTTCTTTATTGTGTTCATGCACATACATGCACCAAATCTGCTGAATGACAAGAAGTCTTCAAGGCTAGCATATATTTCCTAACAGGCATCAGAAGAAGAGTTTGGTGGTTAGTTTTAATAGCCATTATAGAACTAACTTGGTATCTGCTTTTTTAACTGTTAGTTTCATTAATATCTTAATTAGAATTGTATATTTCATTATAGATGCAAATATATTTAGAAAAATAGTCATGCCCCAACAAATCTAGTATTATTTTTTTTGTTCTTCTTAACAACTGCTGTCTGTCAGAAATGTCAGAGAGGTAAGAAAGTAATAGAAAACACCCAAGGTGCATGTCTGGAGTATGTGGTTCCTTTTGAGGTTGTAAGCATACAAGCTGCTATTTGAGGTTGTAAGTGTACAAGCTGCTGTTTGGAAAACAAGCGCATGTGTTGGTGTGACATTGCAGTGTGCCAAATTTTAGCAATTAGATAGGGATATGTAAATAAATTGATTTAAAAGTTCACTTGAATTACCTGAGAAGAAACGTGCACAGTTTTGGGGCTGGAGACTGCTCAGAATACATACGTTGCCAGTATCACTTTTATTTACTGATGCAAGGTCTGCGAGTCTAACTTTCACTGTTTGTTTCTTTATCTGTTCTTTGTGGGTTAATAAGCCACTAGTTTGATTCTTCTTGATTTAATTAGAATGGAGTGAGATTTCTAACATTTCCTGCCTGCATGCATGTGAATTAGTGCTGTAAGGCAGTTACTGTTAACTTGGAGATTTTTATTTCTCTCTGGGAGGAAAAAAAGTTAAACAATGTTCTTATTTTCAGGGTTGACCTATGGAATAATGGAAATTTAGTACAAGACGTCTTTCTAGGAGAAATTAAAGTTCCTGTGAAGGTGTTAAGAAATGATTCCTTTCAAGCATGGTGAGAAATGATCGCTCAGAAGTGAATTTGCTTCTGTCTTGCAGATCTTCCCTTGCAAAGGATATGTTTTATTCTAAACTGTCCATTACAATGTGTCTTCCTGTTCTAGTCTAGGTAAAACATCTCTCTAGAGAGTTTCCCTGCTCAATAAATTACCCTTGCCACGGAGTACACTTAGCTCTTCTCTTCCCCCGATCTGCCCGCTCCCAAAGAATAGTTCATGTGTTTGAGGGGAAAGTGAGGAGAGTGAAGACAGGAAAGGCTGAGCATAACTATCTTTCAGTCAGCTTGCTGGATTGTGGTGATCTGTGTATGCTTTTGAGCTTAACCAGCAAACCTGGAACTTCTCAAAGCTGCATCTCTTGTAATTAAATTCCTAACTCAGACTTCCAGAATGACTGATGAAGAGTTTATTTAAAAATAATCATTAAGTACGGCTTTTTTTTTTTTTTTCTTGGGGGGGTTCAGAAAGTGTCTTCTGGAACAACCCAGTGTCATTTCAGGGGAGCAGGCACAGATGTTTAAACCTGGAAGTGTGAAGTACAAAGGGAATACAGGAGAGGAGGACCTTTGCTTATGCCATAGCAGCAAAACCTCCCTTCTGAAGTTCTTGCAAGCACGAGCCAATCTGTAGCCCCTTTACTCTCCCAAATGCTTAGCGGCAGGAATCGAGGAGTACAACAGATTCAAATGCCTCAAAGTGTGTAGAATATTCTGGTTTTAGTGCACCTTTCAGTACAGAGAAAAGAGTGGAGGAAGCCCTCACATACCCACGTAGAAAACACATAGGAAGGAAGTGGGTAGATAGGAACTAGGAACTAAACGGAACACAGGTCTTGGCTGGGAACCATTACGGCTCCGCTCCACGTACCCGCCTCATGTTCCGAGTGTCTTGGACGTGTTGGAGTTGAAGTCTGATTCTTCGTCTTAGTGTTTGAATGTGATCCTAAACATAATAAATGTTTGTGTTAGTATTTTCAAATTTTTGCATGGCATATTGCAAACGCAGGCTTGTTTTGCCAGTGCTCTGAACTGGTCAAAAGCTTTATGACTATATTAAGAAAATGACATGCCTCCATTAACAACATGCTAAGAGAGAGGTTATGTTGCATGGACTCATTACTAGTGTATTGTGTTCATACGGCTTTTTGAATTGACCTGACTCATGTCCAGTTCACTTGAAGCATCCATAGAGAGGTTTGTGTCTGCTAATATACTTTGTAGGCATACCCTGTATTGAACATCCTCACATCCAATTATTACCTGCTCATCAAAAACAGTTCAGTGACTAAAAACAACTAATTTTTTTATACTATTATTAATTTACATCAAATGTTTTTGAGTATAGCTGAACTACAGCAGACAAAATAGTATCACTAGTACTAAATGTTGGGAAAATAAGTCTGAAAGTCATGCTGTCATGTAGAGGTTCTCCTTGTAAATCAGTTTTACTTTATATTAGCATGCCTTCATGGGCAATGCGTCTGATCGTTAAAAAAAAAGTCTGATCTCCTGGTTGTAGAAGTACAAATGCAAATGATTATAAACTGAAATCATATCTTCAAATATTCTTTTGTCAGGCCAGATGTTGAAACTATACTGTGACTACTTAAAAGCTGTTAAAATTTTTGTAGGGCTGCGCCTCGTGTTGGAATACAGTTGAACTGCAGCAAAAGCCAGTGAAGAATTGTTTAATTTATTTTTGTATTGAGAGTAGGGAAAAGGGACACTTTTTTCCCTTTAATCTTACTTGTTTCTCAGGAACGCAGCCTGTTAATGTTACGTGTTTTTACTGGTTTCAGACTAGACCAGTTAAATTCTTGACACTTAACTGTTCATCTGCAATATACTGTTTGAACAGATATGAGAAAACAAATATAGGTTTCCTTATGTGCTAAAGATGCATCAAGTCCTACTCCTTTTTTTTTTTCTTTTGTGTGTCACATTTTTTAATGTGAATTTTATTGCCAGTTTTCAGACTCAGTTTATGTGTACTGAAATAATAAAATTTAATACTTTGCTTTATTGTAGAATTAAACAAATTAATAAAATGTGAATCTAATATTTTGGAATTGCCCTATTGGTTTCAGGTACTTACTTCAACCAAGAGAAAATGGAAACAAGTCTTCTAAAACTGATGATCTGGGATCACTTAGATTAAATATCTGTTATACTGAAGACTGTGTACTTCCCTCTGAATACTACACTTCTCTAAGAAACTTGCTGCTAAAATCGTCGGATATTCAGGTACTTTTGTTGACAATTTCTTTTAAAATGAAAACTTAAAATTTATTATGCAGTCCTGTAGGAGACAATGTGAATTATGTATATCTAGAGAATTTTTTTGTTTGCATTAATTACTTCTGTCACAAGTAGATGAGCAGTGTGAAGAGCATTTACTTCTGCTCCAGACCACCCAAGATTTTTTTCTTGTTTTAGAAGAACTAGCAGAGACAGTGAAAATAAGTGCTGTGCAACTGGAAGAGATAGAGTACTTTCTTCTTATTGGTTGCTCTTTTCAACGTTGTCTTTTACCACTGACTGCTATTGTCCACCTGGATTTAGCGGTTTTCTGGGACATTGATCCATTATTAGCACTGAAGGGACAGATAATCACCTTTACCAAAAATGGTCTGCCTCAGAACTGATTTCTGAATCCACCTTCTGAATTGCTTCTGTCTTCCCCAGTAGGTTAATCAGCATGACTGGATTTCTCACATGGACATGGTGACAAAGGGAAGTGTGGTAGATGGTTAGCATAGCATGGAGACAGGAATCAAATTCTAGTAACCAGGCTTTATGTTCCTAGGTGTTGTGTAGCCTTTCTTCACTTCAGTGTTGGTGAAGTACTGGAAGAGGAGAAGAAAGGTAAAGAGGAAGCAGACTGGCCTAGCAAAAGCTTCAGTCATGTGTTCAAATACTACTTCATTGAAATTCAGGAAGAGCTAAGTATGTAGCTAGCAGCAGTCAGCAGATGTCTTTTTTTACTTAGATGAAATAACTTTATCAGTTTTTGTATTGAAAATCCAGAGTGTAGAATGGTGACAGACACTTCAGATGTGCAAGAACTGTATTTTAGTGTGCTCTGGTTATAGTTTTAAAAGTCCTATAAAGATACACTATGTTATAGTAAAGCAATTGCTTGCTGCCTCTTACTTGGATTTGTGACAAAGCCATAATCTAACCCTTTAGGGAGAATGAGAAGGCTGAGTAGATGCTGAATTTCATTCTTAAACGTCCACTATAGAGTACATATTACCAGTTTTCAATGAAATATTTCTGTAGAATGGAAACTTTTAATTGCCATGTTATACAGCAAATGTTGAAACTTTCTGCTAAGAAACTATGTCTATAGTCTTGTTAGATTTGATCTTTGCCAAATATATGAAGAACACTTACTACTTCACTCATGATTTCATTTTGCTTTCTCACAGCCGATTTCTGCATCTGCTGCCTACATACTGAGTGAAGTTTGTCGAGACAAGTGTGATGCTGTTCTGCCTCTTGTACGATTATTGCTACACCACCATAAGCTAGTTCCATTTGTTGCTGCAGTGGCAGAACTAGATCTGAAGGATACCCAGTATGTATTTCATGTTTAGTGATGTCATGCCTTTTAAAATTATTCTTAGAGTTTCAAAGGGCTTCATGATTACAACATTGATAAGTAAGCGAGTTTCTTTCATTATGTAGAACTGACTACATTCATCTTTTAATGCTAGTTTATGAAAACATTCATTAAAATCACATTGAAGCTGGGAGTCAGAGTTAGAGCTTGTGTGCTATTTGGTAAAATTTTGTAAAATTTTCTTTGAGCTAGTATACAGCTAAATATAGGCAAGCTAGAAGTCTAGAGTTGTGTCTAAGCACATAGTTTTTATTTTAAATTGTCGTAATTTGGCCACTCTTCAAATTTTACTGAACATTAGATTGGTGCTTAACATTTTTTAAAATGTTGAGAATCTTACTGCGTTTCGTTTACTATGTGACTTAAATGAGGGGTACTCTTTTTCTGCAAAGATGCCTTGTAAGTAAGTACGCGTCATCCTGTGTGCCTTGAAAGTAGCAAGCACAGGAGTTTTTCTAAGTAGCAGTGTATAGCCAGTGAATTTGCACATCTGTCATTAGAAGAGAAATGAAGTAGACCTGAATAGTGGCCACTGAGGTGCCAAGTCATGTCGTGTGGAGATGTGGAAGGGATTTTGTCACCACAGGTTCATTTCAAGGCTGACGTATTCCAGATTTGAATAAGGTGAGACAATTTAACTGTGTAGAAAGAGGTGACTCGTGGAATATAATTTTCTAAACTGCATTTTAGTACACGCATTCCTTTCAATTGTAATTGAACTGTAACAAAGAAAGATTAAACTCAGTCTTTTAGATTAGAAAGATTTACTGTGTACAGCTGGCTCTGTTTTCTGCAACAGCTTTAATGAAAAAAAGCATAACCCTAGACTAAATATGCTTTGGTTGAAGTGTCTGAGTTTTTCTGTGTAGTGTGGCAGTATACTATATTGTAGCTGTAAGATTTTTTTTCTAGCAGGACTACTGGAGGAAGAATTGTCTATCAGTCAGGTATAAGTCTTCATTATTTTGGAATTTTCTCCATTTGTTCTTTCTCACATGCACCGCTGGATTATAACTTACTTTGTCTAAAATTACTTAGGCTTTTCTGTATGGTTTTATTTATGTTCCTGGTTTCGGTAATAGCTGTAATGATATTCTTGTTTATTCTCTTTCTGTTCCAGAGTGGCCTTGCAAGCTGGGTATCTAGATTCTGGAATTTCTGACTGAAATACATGAAAAGATGTTTTTAAAAAATTAGTTATTTAATAGCAAGATAAAGTATTAATTGGATTTTGTAACAGCTTCTTATTTTTTTTTCCTGTTCAAATAAAATCAGTTCTTTTCTTACAGAGAAGCAAATACAGTGTTCAGAGGCAACTCATTAGCAACTCGATGTGTAGATGAAATGATGAAAATAGTGGGGAAGCACTACCTAAAGGTTACTTTGAAACCTGTTATTGATGAGGTAGGTTATGCTACTGTCCTGGTTTTGGCTGGGATAGAGTTAATTTTCCTCTCAGTAGCTGCTCTGTTTTGGGTTTGGTAGGAGAAGAATGTTGATAACACTGATGTTTTCAGTTGTTCCTATGAAATCAAGGACTTTTTCTGGTTTCTCACATTCAGCTAATGAGCAGGTGGGCAGGAGCTGGGAGGGAGCACAGCCAGGCAGACAGCCCACGCTGGCCGATGGGAGTATGCCATACTGTAAATGTGATGCTCGGTTTAGGAATGGGGATGGGCCAGAGGGCAGGAATCTTTCTTGCTTGTTTTCTGGGAGTTCAAATCCTCTCTTGTCGGGGTGTTTGAACTTTTCTGGGAGTTTGATTTTTTTGGGGGGAGTTTTGTGAAATTCTCAAAAATTTGCGAGTTTGGCGTTCTGCAATCACTGTTCAGGGGCTGGCTGCAGATTGGTCGTCAGGCGGTGAGAAAAACTGTATATAGTTTGTTTTGAATTTCATTATTATCATTGTTATTATCGTTACTAGTAGCAGTATTTCTTTTGTTGCCGTATTAAACTGTCTTTATCTCAACCCATGAGTTTCTGCTTTTGTCCATTTCTCCTCCCCATCCTGCTGGGGAGGAAGCGGAGGGGTGAGCGAGCCGCTGCCCAGTGCTTGGTTGCCGGCCACCAGGTTAAACTGCAACACCTACTGAAACTGTCTTTAGGATATTCAGCCCTCTGGGGTATCCTGTCTCTTTGATGGGCATTCTTTTTACTGCTCCCTGTGTGGTAGTAATGGCTCAGTTGGGGGAATTCTAGAGGAGAGTTAAACTGAGCAAGAATTGGTTACATTTAGCAGGAGGAGGTGCTTTTTGTTATTTGTGTTCCAGATGCTTGAAAATAAAGAGTCAATGACGGTTGCTCCAGCCTCTAACACATTGCGGAGTTTACCCACATGATGCTTTATGTAATTGATCCATGCAAAAAGGCACACACAAAAGTGAGGATGATTATTGCATGCTGTTATGGATCGTTAGAAACTATTTAGAGTTTTACACCTAAATCTAGGACAGAATCTGGTTTTCAGTAGGTGCATTTCCATGCTTTCTGTCTAAAAAATTGATCTCCTGTAGTTTTGTTTGTTTGTTCCAGATATGTGAGTCTCCGAAACCGTGTGAAATAGATCCCATCAAATTAAGAGAAGGAGATAATGCAGAAGTTAATATGGTGAGTTTTGTAATCTGTTCTTCCTAATTTAAACTTTCTCAAAATCTGATACAAAAACATTTTAAAAAGCAGCTCTGTGTCATGGAAAATGAGTAATGTATGGTAGCAGTATAATTCTTGATTCCAGAGTAAACAAAGGAAAAGCTGTATTTTCTTATCCATGTTTATGAAAACAGCAAAGGAAAAGTCCAACGGAAAATGAGACAGGGAGGAGAAACTAAACAGAGTCTTACAGTCTTCCTTACCACTTTATTGGGTGTTGTGATTCCTGATGTTCTGTGCCCAGCATCTAGATGATGCAGTAGCTAATTAGGACTGTTTGTTAACACTTTTTATTGAAGTTTTGCCTGCCACTTCCCTGTTACCAGAGGATGACACGGCAACAGTAACTGCAACAAACTAACATTCACTAGATATGCATGGGAAGTGCTCCTTCCTTGTAACGTGTTGTTTGCAAATTACAAAAAAGGGTTTTAATAGATAGTTGTATATTGCCAGACACTACTTATATACTTTAATGTAAGTGAATATCATTAAACTATCTTTTAACACTAATAATCCCATAGAAATATTATGAGGCTTTTAAATTATGCACTGTACTAAAACATATAATTGAATAGTCAAGCGTTGTTTTGAAAAAAGGAATTGTAGTATTATGTTTGTCTTCAGGAAAAAAACAGAAGCACAAACGTTAATGGTCTGAAAAAATAACCTTTTTTCATGATTACAGGAAAATCTACGCTATTACGTAGACAAAGTATTCCGTGAAATTGTGCGGTCAAGTATAAGTTGTCCTACCCTAATGTGTGATGTTTTTTCTTCTTTGAGGCATCTGGCTGCCGAAAGATTTCCAAGTAAGTGTTCTCTTAAAAACTTCTAAAAATTTTGTTGAGAGTTAAATACTTAAATCCTGCAGTTATCTTATGGGGATTATTAAAATTCTTGCCTTGTTCAAAGCTGTGCCCTGAACTTCTTACTTTGACAATCAGCCATTTTTTTTTTTCTGTCAGTCTGTAAGTTATAGTAAAGCCTTGTGGTCAATCAGCAAGAATTTTTTATTTTCTGATACAAAAATGTAGCAGGTCAGAAACACTGCAAGACAGCAGCGAATAAGAAGTCACAAAAATATGAGGTACTAGAAGAAAAGCACAAGTGATGCAGGGAGTGAGTTGAAAGATAGGTACAATTTGGAAGAACTAATTGGCTTTTTGCTTCTAAAGAAGCAAGATGTAAAGTTGAAAATAAATTCGGTATTTACATCTTAACTACATGAACTGCACTTTTATTTACTGTGGCTAGCACCTTTGTAACTTAAGTGTCCAGCTTTACTGCTTATGGGTAGTTTTGAGGAGGGTGGATAATGTAAAGTATTTAATGCATTTGTAATGTGACCAGTATTAGAACAGTTTTATTCTTTCAGAGTGGTTTTAATATAGGAGTAATGTGGTGGGTCTGAAATACTCTTATACTTCAGTCAGTTAAAATCTGAAATGTCATATAATAAGCTACAAAGGAAGAATATACTTCTCATAATCTGGAGCCTTTCTCTGATTCGTGTTTGTCACTGGAATTGGCACCATAGATTTCTCTAGGTAGCTGTTCTGAAAGGACTGTGTTAACCTCCCAGACAGATCAGATCGAAGCGGTCATTAGAGTAAGGATGTGATCCCACTGTATGTCGCAGTATAAAGGTGTATATATACCCAAAATATTAAATGAGAAAATCGTCATTTACAGCATCAAAATTTATGTAACATCATGGTTTTCTGATGCAGCTCAGAATTGGAGTTGAAGTTATTCGCATGTGTTGACTGCATTTGTTTTGCAGCGTTAATGTATTAGAGTTGATCAGTGATTAGCTTTGCGAGGGAATAAACCTGGTGTTTAAAAGCGACTGCTACAGTATTTTTGTTCTCTTCTGGTTCAACATGCATAGAGCCGTAGTCAGCACTGTGTATGTAAATGCTTGCAATAATCTCATTGTTCCTAGTAGCAAAGCTGATGAGACAGCTTTATGAGAACAGAACTTCTTTTCAGAGAAATAAACCGTCCATTACAAGTAGAACATTTCTTACTATGATCACCTTTCTCATTTCATGCACTTCATTGATTTTTCTATTCTGTTTTAAAAAAATGTCTCCTCTGATGTTATCTTCTTAAGGATTTTTATGTTGACTGTCTTCATTATTTCCTGTTAAGTTTAGTGCATGTTACATTTCATGGTTTTTCTCTGCAGATGACCCTCATGTACAGTATTCTGCAGTGAGCAGCTTTGTGTTTCTTCGTTTCTTTGCTGTAGCCGTAGTCTCACCTCATACTTTTCATTTACGACCTCACCATCCAGTAAGTTTCGTGAAGCTTTGTTCTGTTTTATTCATAACCATCAGATCTGTTTATCTGGGAAGGCATACGTTACCTTGAATGGGTCTGTAACTGGGAAATAAGATTACTAAATGTCTCTAGGTTGAGTTTTCGATTTCATACCTCACCAAAGGAACTAAGACATTTGCAGTTCTTTAAGCATAAAATTTCTCAGTCTTTATGAGGTGTTCTCTAATGATGTAGAAGAGCTATTAACAGTAAAGACGCTGTGCCTTTTTGGGGAATGTGCTCGTTTGTTAGAGTAGCAACGTGACTGAGGCTTCTTTAAGGCATACGCCTAAACTGTGTTTGTTCCTTCCACTGTAGAAGTTAAATACCCAGATGTCACTTTTACTTTTTAAAGAATATTTCTGTTTGTGTCTTAAACAGAGGCTGTAGAGTTATCCAGTAATTGGTCTGCATATTTATTCTGGACTTCTGTAGTTGCAATGGGTTGCCAGATCTTCCATTTTCAGTTTTCAAATTGTCAAGTAGATATGCATTTAACAAAATAATCTTCAAAGACAGGAATACGAAGATAAGAAAAAAATTCTGTATTTTCACTTAAAATACAGAATATGTATGAAGTCATCTGCTCCAGAGGTTATTTTTATTACCTTATTTTATCTACTTATGTGTTGTGCTTTCAAAGGAAAAAAATGTACTCATTCATGCCTTTGACATTATCCAGTTTAAGTAAAAAGATTACAGGATTTTATCACTTGAGGGTTAAACATTTTAAAGGAAACAGCAAGGCCCCTTTCTGTGGCTGTTTATAATCCTGTACTAACATGCAAGCAGCGAGGTAGCAAACAAATTAGGCAAAAGCCTTAAAGACAAAGTTTTAAGTACACTTTGTAAATGAAAATTTCTACCATTTGTCCAGTAATAGTTTATTATGTTTAGTATTAAGTTTTGAATAATTCAGAAGCGTTAGATGTGTAGTAACAATTACAGGATTTGAGGCGATTGAGATGTTTTATAGGTAAAAATATCTTTCTAAGTACTGATACTAAATTCTAGTGGTAGTGAGTAAAATATTAAACACTGAGCAGTAGTTTATAAAATATACATATATTCACAAAGCACAAGTACTATCAGAGTACTGCATATGCATTTCTTGTCTCTGGGTGAAGAAGAAAAAGAATGTCAGATTTACTACATCGTGTAATGTAGTAAGTTTTGTGACAGTCTCAATTTTAAATCAAAGTTTTACCTGGAATTATGAAAAAAATGTGAGTTCTGAATTTTGTTTCTTTATTTTAGGATGCACAGACTTCTAGAACATTAACTCTTATATCAAAAGCCATCCAGACTTTGGGGAGTTGGGGAAGTTTGACCAAAAGCAAACTTGTAAGGCTACTAAAAATTCTTTCTCATTTCATAGACAACATTCTTGGAAAATTTATTTATGTCAATATACCTTTTCTTTCAGTCAAGTTTCAAGGAGACGTTTATGTGTGAGTTTTTCAAAACATTTCAAGAAGAAAAATTTACTGAATCTGTTAAAAAGGTACTATTCAACTACATTTTTTTTTTTAATGGTTGATGCATTTGATCAGTCTTAATTATTAGCAGGTTGTGTTATTTTACAGTTTTCTACCAGAAAGAGAAAGAAAAATTGTGGCCCATTTCAGATATTATTAAAAAAAAATTTTAAAAAAACCCACACACAAAAAAAACCAAAATCTGCACAATTGAATACACAAGTTACACACAATCGACTAAGTTAATTTAGGGTTTTAAAAAAAAAAAAAAAGGATAAATTCTTTGAAACAGACTTTATTAGATCTTCTGTTTAGGTAATAATTAAAGAAATGTTGTGTGGCTTATGGGCATCCCTTGTTATATTGTTCCAAGTCCCTGCAATATATTTTCATTTCATCTGTTGCCTAAAGTAATTGTTCTGTTTCAGGAGAAACTGTATATGTATATTTTCAAATTTGCATTTGGTTGTTCTGTGTTTCTGAATTGTATATATTCCCTCTGTATTTTTACTTTAGTTCCTAGATGATGTTTCCTCTACTGAAAGTAAGCAGCCCAGTGGTCTGAGTGAACCAGTACATCTAAAAGAAGGGTAAATACATCTTGAATCTATAACATGCAAAACAGAATTGACTTTACTGTTTTTTCATTAATGCTCACATCAGATTAATGCTCATTAAAATGCTTGATATACTGTAGAAATTATAATTTTGTAATTTGTGAGAAATCTTTGTTAGTTTGCCGAATTAGTTTAAATCAACAGCTGTAAACTTTCGTAACTCATCTTTTAAATACTGGAAAAAAAATTAAAAGCAGCTGAAAACCTGTTAAAGCCTATCTGAATTTCTGTTACAATTCAGTGTGTGCTCTGTGGTGGTTTTTTCAGGATTGTGGAAGTGTATTTTGAAACAACATATTAATTTAAATTAGAAGTGCTTTGCATTCTGTTTAAGCCCAGCCAGCTAAATGTTCTGCTTTTAAAGTAGGAGAAAAAATTACCCTGTAATTGGAATACTTAACAGTAAATGATAGAAAACCTTTAGAAAAATTGAGGTGAAAATCACTCTTTCTAAGAAATGAACTGTCTTTTTTTATGTTGATCAAAAATAGCTGATGAATTAGCAACATTTACTGGGAAAAACTTCTTGTATATGTATGAGAAGCAGGTTCATAGCAAGTACAGATTCTTGTGTGAAACAAGCATCCAAACAAGGAAGAAATGTACTTCTTGTATTTAAATACTATGTAGAAGTGTAGAAGACAATTGTAGTGGATCAACACTTAGTTATAGCAATTTGGAAGCTAATCTGTATGATAAAATCGCTGTTACTCAAAAAAAAAAAAAAAAGTTGCCACCAGTGAAAACACTGAAAGTGTGTTGAATACAGTTGGTGTCTACCCTTGCTGTTGGGTCATGTTCAGCATCATTTCGTTTGTGTTCAATTTCTGATCCAAGTGAGGCCAAGTACATTTACGTGCAGAAAGTAATGTTCGGAAGACTAATGGTTGCATTTCATTTGATTCTGTCTTTACAGAGAAATGTACAAAAGAGCTCAGGGAAGGACTCGGATTGGTAAAAAGAATTTCAAGAAACGGTGGTTCTGTCTAACAAGTAGAGAATTCACCTACCACAAACAGCAAGGTAAATGATGTTTATTTTACAATTATTTTTATTTTCTCACTGTTTTCTAAGTGTTTGCATCAGATTTGTGCTTTTTAAAGTGCGTTGTTTTTTTCTTTAGCTAAAGTACATCTGATATGTTGTAGTTAGCTTTGCCCTGATAACCAAATGCTTCTGTCTGATTCATGTATGTTTTCTCCTTAATAAAAATGCACATTTTGAGAACTTAACTGTTGCGGCGGGATCAAGGACTCGACCAATATGATCCATAACAGTCAACTTTATTAGAAGAGAATCTGCATTATATAGACAGCACTCGGTTATGATTGGTCCCTATTCATAAAGCATCTATTAATAGAACACCTGTTTACCCGCAGCCAGCCTTGGGGCATCTGTTTATCCACAGCCGGCCTCTTGATGGCCTTGAGGCCTGTGCTGCTACAGACCTATCAAGTCCATATTCAGAGTGTCTGGGTTGCTCACAATATGTCCCTGTTCTTCCAGAAATCCCACACTTAGCCTACAGTATCAGGGCACTGAGATTATGAAACAGTTCGGTTTTTTTAAATTGCTTCACTTATCTGTTTACAATTTTTTACAGATAAAGAACCAATTTTCACTATTCCAATCAAAAACATCCTTGCAGTGGAGAAACTTGATGAGAGCTCCTTCAACAAGAAAAATGTGAGTCAAAAGATAGTTTATATGTAATTCTTGATATGTTCTTTAAATAAAAGATTATAATAAGCCTACAGAGTTACTGAAACCCTATTACTAAACACTTCAGCAAAAAATCTTTTCTGTATCAGGAATAAAAAGCTGTATGCAGTATTTCCAAGTACTCTGAACGTGGAACTTAACCTGGAGATTTGGATCTCTGCACTAACTTTTCTGACTGATTTTGACTTCTGCCCCCCCTTTCCAAATTTGTGGAATGAAACAAAGTTGTCACATTCAAAATGTAGTAAACTGTGACCTTATTACAAAGCACTTTTATGTAAGATTTTAGTAGCATGTATTATATTATTTTCTACTAGAAATGTAGTATTACCCAACTTATATTTATTCTTTTTGATGAGAACTTCCTACAGAACATCAATCAGCCGAGACAGTTGTCTGTGCTCACAGGCTCATTCTGGACCTGTAACATATCAGTAGTTCTGTTGTTTCTTCAATCCAAAATTCTGAGGCAGTGACAAAAGTACAGCTGTTACTTAGGCTGAGAATGGCTAAAGGAGAGACTTCTGGGAGTCTTCCGTTACTCTCAGGAGGTGAAGCATGAAGTCTGAGGTCACATTTAAAGATATATGAATGAAGAGGACAGAAAATGTATCATGTTCTAATTCTTAAAGGACTCTTTTTTGGATGAGGAAGTGGTGTAGGCAGAACACAGGGAGCTGTTTTGGGTGTTTTTCTGCTAAACAGGGCTGTGTAGTAAAATGAAAAAGGTGAACAGTCTTTCTTGTCTCACTTCCTGTCTTAATGTGGCCTTGTTAAATTGCCTGAGCTTTCAAATCTATTTTGACATACTCAAAGTTGCTCAATAACTGGATTTTTTTTACTAAGCAGAATAATGTTCCGTTCCTTCTACAGATGTTTCAAGTACTGCATGGAGAAAAGCCACTCTATATCCAAGCAAATAACTGTGTAGAAGCTAGTGAGTGGATAGAAGCTCTTTGCCGCGTAACGAGATGCAACCAGAAGAGGCTTAGTTTTTACCATCCTTCTGCTTTTTTGAATGGAAACTGGCTTTGCTGCAAGGCTACAATAGAGAGCACAGTCGGCTGTGCTCGTTGCACTGCGTAAGTTGCTTCTCAAATGAAAATACATGTGTTTTGTAGGACAAATAATGTGTGATTGACTATACAGCTTGAAAATCTGCAGCCAAGGCTTTCCCTGTCTAGGTTAGTGAGTTACACTACTAAAAATGTGCCTTACTAATAAGGTCCGAAGTACTGGATTTTACTAAGTCTGCTACTTCGTCAGCCACCATGTGAAATGAAGGTAACCAGCATGTAAATCAGAAATACTGAGTGTCTGATTTCTTTCCACGCAGAATAATAAATTTAACAGCTCAAATTTATTCAGATGCCAAGCTTAATGCAGAAATATGACATGCCTAGGTCATCTGTTTGAAAGAATTGAAATACCTTGGTGCAGAGGGCTCAGCCTGGAATTCTGTCGCTTTCCCTAATGACATTGTCTTGTTTTATATGTTCACTTTTTAAATTTTAACTTCATTTATTTTAAATTCTAAAACACAGTGTACTAAGAAAATAAACTAAATAATCTTGGATGTAGATTCTGACCCATCATTTGGGTTTTGTAGATATATCAGGAAAATTAATAACATTTTATAATGCATTAATGCCTTTCTTTAAGCTGCTGATATCTGAAAACAAATAAATGCTCTTATCTTTTTTAAAAATTAATTTATCCTTAACTGGATAGGCTTCATGAATTATAGACTAAAGATCTCAGTCAGTCCTCTAAAATTCAGTATGAGTCCTACAAGAGAACTGTCTGAAAATATCTGTAATACTTTTCCCACGTTACTCAGTTCATTCTTATATTAGATTTCTCAACAGTTCAAAAGATTCCCATTACTAAATAACTTTCCGTTGGTTTAGTCTTTCTGTTTTTTTACCAGTTCTGGTTTAGGAATATATCTTGTTCTTCTGTTCTGGTTACCTTTCAAGTATAGTAGATGTTAAAAGAAGTGTTTAATTGTAATTTAATAACAATTAACCTTACTTTGATAATTTTGAAATATTTTTATCTTGACATACTGAATAGTAAATTCTATTGGAAAAAGCAATTTTTAGTATTGCTGTATTCATTGCCCTCAGAACTGTATATGCCTGTTTCTGTAGAACACTTGCAATGAATGCTGAGTTGTATGTAACAATTTGAAGCTGTCTGTGAGTGACAGGTATATTAAAAGGCTAAGTATATTGAAAGAGAATCAGTTTTTCCTGGATTTACTTACATTTTAGTAGAATGACCTATATCGACTACCGGTCTCTTTGAATTTACTCACTTTTCACTATCAACATGTCTAAACTACAGAAGTTGGAAGGTACTCAAATAATAATTCAGAAGAATTATACTGATACTATTCAGCTCTAATTCTTTAGGCCCATAAATTCAGTTTGATGTCTTAAGAAGGAAAATAATAGAGAGTAGACACACGGATTATATTTTTGCCATCTTAGTGCTCCGGCATCGTACATTCTTCAGTCGTGTCTTTACAGTAGACCTCAGGCATGCACATTGTTCTAATTGAATTTGCATACCTTTAATAGTCTAAACTGAGAGGCTGCAACTATGGCCGGTTGCTCTTCTGTCTTTGCTTTCCTTTTCCTGACTGCAGAGTGAATTCTATTGAACGTGGCTGGGTTGAAGAAAGCATTGGTCTTCTGTTAATGTGAACAGGAGAGAGCTGGATGCTCCAGATGCTGAACACAATTAGCAGGGAATAAGCCACAGAACTGTAAATATATCTAGCTGATACTGTCTCCTGCTTTGTCTTAACCCATTTTATGTATAAGCTAGAGTAACTTGATGTATCAGAATTTCAGAATCACCGTTTACATAAGAGTTAGATCTGTTTGTTAATTATTGAAATTCTAATTGGGATAATTGTGGTAATTTTTGTAGAGGCTTGCGGAAGTATAGCAGTCTATCAAGGTCCACGGAAAGAACCAGATGATTATTCTAACTTCACAATTGAAGATTCTGTAGCGACTTTTCATACACTTAAACAGATAATAGATACAGTAGAAAAGCTGAGTGAATCACATGAAAAATACCGAAAGAAGAGATCATCTAGTGCTAAATATGGTAGTGAGTAAGTATCTTATGTAATTCTGACATACGTAAATGTGTATGTTTAAAAAAATAAATCACAGAACAAGGCCAGGCTTGTTGAGGTAGAGGTAACTAAGCTAAAGGTAGATTTAGAGAGCACAAAGACATGGAGAAGATAAGTTACCTCATTTGTATTAATGCAACTTTTTACCGGTTGTTACAAGAAGTTCCTCCAGTGTGGGGTTCATCTGTATTCCTGTTGAGATTCCCGTAAGTGGATACAATGACTCTGTTGCTTCCTTGCAACTTAACACCTAAAGTGCACGCAAAATTTGTTAAATTTATTTATTATTTTTTCAAAATTTCAAATTTCAATGAAGAAATAATTAAAATATCAAGTTGTATAAAACTGTAAAAGTTACACTGCAGAAACATATCTTTCGTGCAGTATATTTACTGCTTGTAATTCACTTGCCATACTTGATGATAAATACTGTTTCTGGTGAAGTTAAAATAAATCTGTTCTTTGGAGTACATTGTTGTTCCGGAGCAGATTCTTTCAGTTCTCTTCAATCCTGGCTGGTATCTGTGGAACACCACTAGCAAGTTTTCTGATTTCTTGTTTGCATCAATAAGGCTTAATTCACTGGAAAAAAAAAGGAATACTCAAACCCCTATTTGGTTTGCCTAGGTTAGTATTTGACCCAAGTTGTTTAGGAAAACATACTTTCATTTAGAGGTCTCACATGAAAGCACGTGAGGCTTTCCACAAATCATGAAATTTCACAAGTAGTGGTAGAAATTATGCAAAAAATACAGGTTTGCTTAATAAATTAAAAATGTATGATGAGAACTAGAAAGCAAATGTTAGCCTTAAAAATATTTATGTTTTTTTTTTTTTCTCCAGAGAAAATCCAATTGTTGGAAAAGTTTCCTAACCAAAAGAAACTGTGGCACACTTGGATGAAAAAAAGAAAGTGGAAATGTTCTTGAGTGTTTTGGGGTTTTGTGTTGTTTTTGGTTTTTTTTAAATTCATTATATACATTTTCAAAGTATTTCAGAATGAACATAAATGCTGGTTGTGTTGACAATCTATTTAATATTTAATAGAAAAAAATCAACTTGGAAATATAGTCGTAAGGTTTATTCTCATTTTACTGAAGAACTTGAAGTTCCAGGTTCTTGAAGTAACAGATGTGAATAAATCTAAATGTTGTTTTGCCATTGTTGTCTTATTGGAAAGAACTTTCTAAACAAATAAGCTTTTTACTGGAAGAAAATCCACACTGCATTTGTTGGTTGGATTACATCTCTCAATATATACACTGCAAACTTGCATGAGTTTACCAGGAGTGCCTGCCCTGCTGATAAGGATCTTGACATAGAAATCCCAAGATGCTAAGACATGGAAAAAATCTGAAACTTCACACTCAATTCATTTGACTTTTTTTTCTTGTCTTAGGTGTTGTTAGGACTTGATTTATCTACAGCTGAAGTCTTACAAAATCATGCAGTATGCTGCAAACAATCTGAACAGCAGATACCAGTGTTAGTTATGTTTTTAAGTACTAAAGAGGAAGAAATCAGGGAACTTATGTTGTACCTCTTGTTTACATTTGGGGTGAGTAATATATGGAGTAACATTAGACCACTATCTGTTTTCTTTAGGAATCTTTAAGGTACATGTATTTTCTTAATGTAAAAAGAAATGCAGGGTAGCAACATTCTTTTTAAATAAATTTGCCTACAGATAGAAAAATTTAAATGTGAACATTGTAGTTAAGTACTGATCAATTTTCATCATCCCATGTATGATTTTATTTCCTTTTTTTAATAAAAAATAATAACTCGGTCCAGCTCACCTTTTGACTACAAATCTAATAAATAATGTCTATTATAATCACTCAAAGCACTTTAGATATCTGGACTATCCCAGATTATTTTTAGATACTTTGTAGTATCTGCTTGTTATGATCAGTTGAATGATCAACATTGTTTTGTCTTCAAGCAATGCTTCAGTGAATATTTTTATATCTTTAGTTATATGGATTCATATTTGCCACTTAACAGTTTTAAACTGGCATTCTTGTCTTTAATAAGATTAATTTTTGCTCACTTCATCTGAGAAGTTAGGTTTATGCTGAAAGAACATATATGTATATAACCAGGAAGAAGCAAAGGTATTACTGTGGCAACTTGGCTTTGTCAGTATTAAATACAGCGGTACTCCTTGGGATATTATTTTTAATAATAACTATATGTGATACTTCTATTTTTGGAGCATTTGCTATGGGGCCTTTTGTTGTTGTTTTGTTGGGGATTTTTTGGGTTTTGTTTGATTTTTTTACAATCATGGTTTGGCCAAATTCATTAGGAATGTAACTTAGAATGGAAATTCACAATGCTCAAAACTGTAAGCTGTTTAAATTACTATACCTTTATGATACTGTTGTAGGGAGGCTTTCTGTAATAGAAGCAAGATGGCAAGACAGGATTGAAATCTCTTCTGGAATTAATGTAACTTGTTAGAATTAACTATTTGGTTTAGTTCGAGTCAAACTATTTCCAAGTATCTGGGATTCAGTACTAATATCTGCAACGTCACAATCATTTAATCACCTCGACTGTTCTTGCCTTTTCCTTTTTTTACACATTTGATATATTCTAAGGGATTTTCATTTGCCAACAGTTGAAATTGGGCGGGAGGGAGGGGAAAGGGACCACAGTAAAGCCAAGAAATGCGTTTTGCCAAGGTAAAGTGGGTCTGATAATAAAAAGCTGCCATTAAAATTGAATGTGGTTGAGTGTCAAAGTTAGGTTTTGCTGTATATGGATTAACTCTGTGGCAAAGTGGCTGTTCCTTGGAGCCATTTTCTGTTGTTTTCAAAGTCAGATTTATGAAAAATTAAATTGTATACAATTGCAACATTTTTAAAAGAAAATGCACTTTTTTTGCTTTGGTACTGGAATATCTTTGACGAAAACAAAGGCCATTGAATATTTGTGACCATTAAGATTCGATTTCTCATTTTATAATGTTTTAAAATGCAGTAGATGTTCTAGAATTTAATTAGGTATAAGTAGGGTGATTAATAATAAAAGTTGCCTTCTTTTGATTAGTTTAGAAAGATGTTGTTCAGTAATTAGTTGTTAGGATCGTAAATTATCATTAGTTTTAATTTGTATCATGATGATGTATTGTTGAATGTATTTTTATTTAAATTTTATTTTCTTATCAAGACATTAAAATGTTTTGTAACATTGCTTGAGAATAACTCACAAATAAATTACAACAAACTTGAGATACACTGTGTGTTTATTGTGAAGCCTGGCTCTTTAAAATGTTAGCATTTATCTGAAGACTGAATTAATCGGGGTTTCCATACAGGAGTTGGATATAAAGAGATAAATCTAATTGATGTGGGAGGAAAGGGAAAAAAAAAGAACATCACACAAAAAAACAGACTGAAGTTGAGGGATCTTAGTGGTCATCTGCAGCATTGTTACATGCTAACTGAGATGGATGGTTGGCGAGAGAAGTGATAATCGTTTAGCATAACAGCGTGCATAGAAGCCTTATTAATTTGACAGTTTTTAAAATGTTTGCAAAGACCAGTCTTATGTATAGAAGGATATCTAGAACTATGTTATTAGTCTTGTATGACTAATTTTTTTATTTGCTTACTGATTTGTCTTTAACTGTCCTGTGTACCAGTACCAGCTATCCGATTTCTCAAACCTATTTTAAATACATTGCGTATGGAAAAAAATAGTCTTTACTCTTCTCAATCTTCTTTCTTTTTCATGTAATCTGGGTACTTTTTTTGTTACCTGCTTTCCCTTCCTATGCTTATGGGCATTTTTTGTGAGATAATTTTGTACAAGTGTGTTTTAATGTCTTGGTGTTTTGTTTCCTTGTACGGAGAGCTGACCTGTTGTCCTCTGTTGCTGGTGTGGAAGCTCCTATTAGTTACAGTGCAAACCTCCCAGCCATTTTGGAATTAATTTTGGTTAATTCTGAGGTAAGCTGTATTAAGGGCCAGTTTGAGTGGTCGCTACGTTCATTTGCAGAGATCAGAAAGCAGAGGAAGTTAAAGATGAAATTGGAAGTACAGGACAATTTTTTTTTTTTTTTTCAGGATTCTGTGATGATTATAGCAGAGTGATCTATACTTTTCATGCTAATATGCTATCTGCTCTAACCGTTCCATTAAGCTGAGTTTTCTCTAAACCATGACATGAAAAAGGCATTTCCATTTTAGGTCTGCAGTGTCTGTGCTGATCATGCTTCCACATTCTGGGCGAGGCTCGCAATGATACATGTATAAGGCCTCTGTAGCCACAAAGTTCTTCCTAGGACTCTGGATTCCTGGAAAATCAGTGTGCTAGTTCCTCTTACACTTCTATATACATCTTTGTCCCCCATCATACATACAGACAGAGAACTATAGTGAGACAATGCATACTTACCACCTATATATAAGTGAGCATATATATTTATCTTCATATAGTCTACCTGTAGACTATATATAGTAAACAGAATCAGTAATATATGTAAAATTGAGTGTTTACAAGACATTATCTTTAATTTCTACTCATTTGTGTGTATTTTAAAATACAAAGTTTGATGCAGTATTGCTTCTAAATAGTGTTCCGTATTGAAAAAAAATTGGGGCAATAAGCAACAGCTCCCAGGATCAAGTGAGAGCAACTTCCAGTAGAATGGACAAATGCCTACAATTCACTGAAGGTTCATACAAATAATTACAGAATCATATTTAACTGATGTTTAGATCATTGATGCAAATTAAATAAACTAGAAATCTTTTAATAGCAATAAGGAGACTGTATCAGTGTTACTGCGTTCAGCTGTGATGAGACTACTGCTGGAATACTTTGTCTATTCCTGAGATTCAGCAATATAGGCAGCTGTTTAAAAAAACAAATTCAGAGTTTGAGAGTAGAGTTAGAAGAACTGGGAATATAGACTGTAATTTATCTAAGTTACTTAGTTTAAATATGTAAGTTTAAAAAGTCACTTTACCTAAATCAGGGACAAAAACTTGATAATCAGTTGCTCTGCAATCAGAATAAGATTTAAAAGATCCAGTGGCTTCAGCGTTCCAGAAATGCATATGCTTTGTGAGAGTGGTTTTAAAAAAACAAAAGTGATAGACAACCTAGCTGAATCGCTTAAAAAGCAAATATTCTTTACATTAATAAATGTTTATGGAAGATAGCAAAGTTCATCCATATTGTATGACCAAGCTTTTTAACTGTTTGAGGTACTAATTATTTTAGCATAATTACTATTGCAAGTGCTGTGGCAGTTTTATATAAAGTCTAGTTAACTGTTTCAGTAAAAAGAGGATATAAATCTTTATTCTCATTTTAGAAACATTAATTATATGTTTTTTTGAAATCCAGTCAGAGAATTCTGTTTGGTTCATATGCTTGTGATTTTGTTCCCCACTTCCATCCTCTATTTTTGGTCGTTCTTCCTACACAGGGAAAAAAGCTGAGAGAATCATAGAACAGCCGAAGTACATCTACTGGGTGATTTGAATTCAAGGCTTAGAGGTAAAAAATCTCTTACCTGGTCCCTCTGAAATAGTAGTGCAGAAGATTTTTGGCTCTGGTTTCTCAAAAAAGTGCAAGATATCCCCACTTTACTCCAGGTTGGTGTTTCAGTGACAGACTCCACTGTGTCAGGGAGCACAGAGGGAAGGAGATGTTTTGAGGACCGTGTGAGTATAGCAACAGAAGGCTTCAAAGCCTGCCAGACTCATGTTCATGCAGTGTTTTCCTCCCAGACGAGCGTGCAGGCACCGTGCCTCCTGACGGGTTACTGCCGTAGCCAGCTAAGAAGCTGGGGGGTGGGAGCTCCACGGGGTTGAACACTGCCTGCTCAGCCTTCTTCGCTTTTCCTGGACTCCGTGACATTGTTGCTAGGTGATACAGGAATAAGCCCGCATCAGATGGCAAAGAGCAGGCGACAGAGATAAAACTGGTAAGAGGGAAACTCCCCTAGAAAAAACAAATTATCTACAATAATGCTCAGACCCAACATGTATGTTGCGTCTTTCGTCCATAGACCTTTAAGTACTTAATGAAGGAAGAGTAAGTATGTACAAGTCGGTCTCTTCTTTCCACGCTGGGGGTTGGAAAGGTGCTGTGTGTTGTATAACAATGCACCTTTTAAAAGTCCAAGAGGAAGGAGTACTTCCCTCTAGTTTCTGTAACTGTCAAGTATTTAAATGGTGCCAGATGCAGGCAAAATGCTTTGTCAAATATTCGGTCATTTTAATCATCTCAGGTCATCAGCTGACACCCCAGAGGGTGACAGTGCAAGCTGAGAGGTTTGCACAAGCATTTTCTCCATATGATAATGATGCAATGTAGCTTATCATTTACCTCCAAGTTGGTTTTAGTCCTGTACCTTTCCCTCTCGCCTTTTCTCCCAATCTTGCTGATTTACTTTAGTGTTAGACCAAGCATGTTACAGATTACCTGATTGATTTTACAAGTATCTTAAAATTGAAATAGAAGTAATCCTAGTCCTAGATCTGAGATTTTAAATCATCAAACTGTACAAATGGAAAAATACAAGGATGAGTTCAGTAGTGCTGAAAAACTCTGTAAAAGATCTAACTTTTTTTAAACACAAAACATACAGTGATTTCTGTAACAACTGAAATAGTTCATCTGGCTCCCTCCTTGGCAGTTGATTCAGATTCCTGTCAACTCTTCCCTGTCACACCATTCTGTCATGGTGTGACATTCACATGGTTTTCGTTTTGGTTTTGGTTTTTTTTAGTTGTTTATGTATATACTTGAATTGTATATGCATATATTCTGGCACTATCTTGGCCAAAGTGTAAATGCAGAAAGGTGGATAAAAGTCAAAA